ACTATTTTCTACAAATTGGAAAAAAGTGGTGGTTACGTTACGATTTTGACAAAATGATCATAATCTCCGACCCCGAAAACCCCCAAATATGAATTTTGAATAGAATTGGTCGATAATTACAAAACTCGTCCGCCATATTGAAACCGCCATCTTAAATTTCCCAATTTTGACGAAAGGTTCTGAATCTGCGACCCCGAAAATCCCAGATACCAATTTTGAATAGAATTGGTCTATAATTACGAAACTTGTCCACCATATTGGATCCGCCATCTTGGATTTCCAAATTTTGAAGCAATAATCATTATCTCCGACCCCGAAAACCCCCTAAAATACCAATTTTGAACAGAATCGGATAATAATTGAACAACTCGTCTGCCATATTGTATCCGCCATTTTGAATCTCCTCATTTTGACGAAAAAATCATAATATCCGACCCCGAAAACCCCCAGATGCCAATTTTGAATAGAATCGGATTACAAAACTCGTCCGCCATATTGGATATCCGCCATCTTGAATTTTCAATTTGAAAAATCGTTTACGACTGATTCTCAGACCTACCGAATATGCACAAAAATCTTCATAAGAATCGGCCAAGCCGTTCGGAGGAGTTTGGCGTCAAACATCGTGACAGGGACAGGAGAATTTCATATATTAGATTAATATTATGTATCAACAGAGTCAGTTATGCAATACACTCGATAGACTATAAAAAGAAAAAAAAGCGCAATTATTTACAAAAAATCGCAATGACGCAAAACTAAATTGAAAAGCGCCTTATTGGCAACACTGTTCCCCAGACCCAGAAAGAAGAAATGAATAAAAAGAGAACTGTAATGTTTGTATTAGTTCTTGAAGGAGCGCAGCACGGTAGTTTCACTGTGTAGCCCTCTGAAAGACAATAGCTGAACTACTCTGCCACTGTCGAAACCTTGCTAACAATATGGCGATATTGAAAATAGATGCAGAAACGTCAGAATAAATTTTACGCACAATACATTCCCAAACGACAATGTTCCAGAAGCTGATTATTTCATCAAAAATTTATTGAATTGCTAACTTAGGGTATGCCAGGTTTTGATTCGATTCCGTTACACAAACGTTGTCAACGTTATTGTTTTTCATTACCATATATTTTTTTACACAAATCGAATTTCGCTGGAAAATTCCTTCATACCCTATTCTCAACCCTCGTCTTTAATATGTACCATCCACTTTTGCGCTTACACTTATAGTTTATTAATGATTTGGTACCAAACTGACCTCTGCATGGCAGTTTTGACTGATGCGCCCTCTTAATAAATTTATGAATACATAGAAATTTGAATGAACTTACCTGAATAGAAAGTGTCCAACCAGTGACTTAGGAGTCCTAACAACCTGCAGTAATTTGAAGATTCATTGAATGTAACCCTGGAATAAATAAAAGAATTCAACAAGTTTATCAAGTTGAGGTCAAAGTATAGTTAATACATTTCAGCTCAAAAACTCTCAAAGTAAATAAGTAACATACTAGGTAACCTATTGATACATACCTCGTTAATTATGGGTTCAAAAATAAACATTTTCTGATAAAAATGGGAATTTCAAGAATTTCCTTGATAGGTTATGTTGTTATTATGTCACTGATGTCAGTGGCAAATTTGACACTTGTGTTGTCTCCTTACAGTAGTTTCATATTTTTCTTCGTTGGAATTTTTGCCACGTTGAGACAACGGCCTTGTGTCGATTTTGGATGAAGTGAGACGAAGCCGAATTTAGGTTATTGGTTACCGTAGTTCCGTTTCAGTACCCGAACTCCGGTAGATTTGTGTCGTCGGTTGAGGGTCAGGAAAATTAGTTTATTGTTTCCCGCTAGAATTCGAAAATTTCTATGCTGGTAGGACTGGTTGTCCAAAAGTCGTCAAGTTCTTCAACCAATCAGGGATCTGGAAGCAGTCACATGGTACAGGATTTACAGGAAATGTGTTTTTCATGTCCATTCCACAGGTGTGCAGAATCCAAAATAATGTTTGTGAAGGTGGAATTTTAGTTTTTTTATATGGTTTTGTGTCCTCTGAAAAGAGAGGTATACACCTTCCGGCTGAGTCCGCTGCCATCAGCCATCATTTCTTGCGAACCGTTCGTCCAGGATCGTCGACGAAAATGTGGCATTTCGTTTTGGAGAGTTCAAGTGAGCAGGCCATCCTGTTAGGAGGTGAGTTTTTATTCTTTGGGTATTAGGGCTCATTTGCATCTTAGAAACCTTTTCCTGTATTGAAAGTGAATCTTTCTTTCTGAAGATTTGTGGGCCTGTTTTCGAGAGAGGCTTTTATGGGGGTCGCCATTGACCACGCCGGTAGTTGATCGAATCAAGAAGGCCGAGTTGATTCTTTCAATTCAACCAGCAGTCCAGGCCAGTTTAGCTGCATGGCTCCAGGCTCCACCTGGAAATAGCAGAAAGATTTTCTTTGGGGGCTCCAGTTCCCTTCAACCATCTTGTAAGCCTAGTCTTCTTGGGGGCAGGGACACTGCAGGCTTCAACAGTCGACCAGGTCCAGGACTACATCCCAAGCAGCTGTATCGTGTCCAGTTTTGGGAATCTGCAGGGGACACCCACCTGAAAGGCCGAATGTCAACCTCTACCTGGGTCCTGAGCCACTAGGCCCCACTTCCTGAGCCACTAGACCCCACATCGTGTGGGTAATCACCTGTAACCCATTTTGGTTACCATTACCACCAAGTAAGAATTTTCCATAAAGAAACTTCCAGAAAGGTCACCACCAGTAGAAGTGATTTTGTTTCATGCAGTCTTGCATTATATTTTTTTTACCTTATAAGCATATATTTTTGAAGAGAAGGAGCTATGTAAAGCTTCCATATGGGCCCATGTTGGAATTAGGGGTATATTAGTAGGTTATAAAGCATATTTGAGTTGAAGATTTTCAATATTACGTATTTAACTTTCAAGTTAAAAAGATATGCACATGCAGGAATATTTTCAGGTTAGATTGGTGCATTTTTGGAAAGTTGTGAATTTTTCAGTATAACATCTCAATTAAATTCCACATGAGACCACAAGTTGTGTTTTTATTCTACACTTTATATTACAGGTACAGCTTATTTTGACAATCAAACGCTAGAACATGAAAGCAAAGTGTTAAATTTACCATCTGATACATAATTTCCAAGTTTTCACTCTTAATATAAACTTAGTGGCGCTCTCAGGGCCACCTAACAAAATCCGAACACAAGCCATTTGTTCACCAGACACAAGAGCTGCCGGAGCAAAATTGTGAAACTTACTTTTCTGAATTTTATTTTAGGCAATGAAATGAAAATCAGTAAAGTTTGTATCAAGGGTTTCCGTTTCGTTTCGTGCCCCTTTCGTGTGCTCAAAATATTGAAAATGAAATAATAATGACTGATGGTTGATTGACATTCAATGTTCGTTTTTTGTAGACAGTAACGAGACTAGCGACGGCGCTATTCGAGATAGTCAAAGACAAAGATTTCGCGCTGCAACTCTCGTTAACTCTGGTCACGGCTCAAATGCTCGAGCATTATAGGGATTCCCTTTCGTGTGCTCAAAATATTGAAAGTAAAATAATAATGACGATGGTTGATTGACATTCAATGTTCGTTTTTTGTAGACAGTAACGAGACTGGCGAGGGCGCTATTCGAGATAGTCATATATAATACCACAAGTGATAATATTTTGCCGGAAATATTCGGTGATTGTTACGAAAGCTTGTTGCCTAGTAATTTCGTGAATGACATTGTTATCAAAACTACGAGCCGTAGGCGAGTCAATGTCATGAGCGAAATTAGAGCAGCAAGCTGGAGTATGTCAATCGACGAATATTTCCAGGAAAAATAGTATCACGAGTTGTATTCGTATGACTATTTCATGATTGAATGAGACAATATATATAAGAAATAGGAAACATAATTTAAGTATATTCCAACTCGAACTGCGAAGAAGAACATAATGATAGTAATGAAATACAGAATTAACTTTTTTAGAAATTAACTACCTACTTATAGTTATTCACAAAGTGGAATGTACAATTTTGATAAACAGTATTTTTTTAATTATCTTGGAGATGGTTGCTCTCAAAAGAGTGTATACAATTACTATCCAATTCAAACAAAATGAATTGAATTTATGTGGAATAATTAAAAAAAAAAAATATCGTCGCTGTGGGCTCGAACCATCGACCTTCGTTCCTCGCGCAACAACCCTAACAGTTGCGCCACATCAGCTAGTAATTATATCAGTCAGTCACAATTACTTGAGTATTTGAAGAAGATTACTTCAAAAAGGAATTTGAATTCTATTATTGTTGTGTCAGACCGTCAACAAATATAATAAAATTGTCTCGCCTTTCGTACAAAATATCTCACTAACGCGAATTATGAGTAAATAAAATAAAGTAGGAACTTAGGTTATTGTCTCAGATTTGAATCCAAAGCAATCTTGACCAGTCACGATGTCAAAATTTTATCGCTGATAAACGAGGTTAGTTGGTCACGTGTGGGTCAATTCGGCTTCTGTATTGGTAGTGGTGATAAAATTCAATAAACAAAAAATATCGCTAGAATACAGAAGAAACCATGAAAATGGTCGATTCTAATTGGTTCTCGAGATCAAGAGTGGAATAGTCGAAGAAAAATACTACGCGCTGCAGCTCTCGCTAACTCTGGCCACGGCTCAAATGCTCGACCACCATAGGGATTTCCTTTCGTGCGCTCAAAATATTGAAAATAAAATAATAATGACGACGATTGATTGACATTCAATGTTCGTTTTTTGTAGACAGTAACGAGACTAGCGAGAGCGTTATTCGAGATAGCCAAAGACGAAGATTTCGCGCTGCAGTTCTCTCTAATTCTGGCCACGGCTCAAATGCTCGAGCATTATAGGGATTCCCTTTCGTGCCCCTTTCGTGTGCTCAAAATATTGAAAATGAAATAATAATGACGATGGTTGATTGACATTCAATGTTCGTTTTTTTGTAGACAGTAACGAGGCTAGCGAGGGCGCTTTTCGAAATAGCCAAAGACAAAGATTTCGCGCTGCAATTCTCCCGCACTCTGGCCATGGCCCAAATGCTCGAGCAGCAGATGTGGCCCGATTTGCACCCGCTGCTGCAGTTCAAGGAGCTGGCGCCGCATTTGAACACCCATCGCGCCACCGAGGTGCTCAACATGCCCATGTGGGAATTGAAGGAGATGTCCGAACGGGAGCTGGAGTCGCTCTTCAGGAGCAGACATGTGGGAAGCAGGTATTTTTTCTGTTATTTTGATGCCTCTAATGGGTGCGTTCCATTCAAAACCGTAAGCGCCTCGGCTTACTGACGTTTCAGGCCGTTAGCATTGATACTATGAGACCTGCACGATAGATAGATAGATAGATTTAGGCTGTGTCAAGTAATTCGTTTCACCACAGTGGTAATGCCATGATGGCCAATGGTTTACTCGACTCCCATCAAAAGTTACCGTGATAACTTTGTGGGCAGGTTTGAAACGTGACCGATATTCCCAAACAGCTGGTTGGTCAAACCGATGGTCAGACTTCATACTGAACGTATGTGCCCGGTCAAAACAGACTTGACACAGCCAATATATTACCGTTTTTGCCATAATACAATGATCGGTTCGTCATACAAAAAATATTTGCATTAAAATGTGAATGGTATACATGAAAAAATAACTATAACTAAAGATATGATAAAAATTTGTTGAACAAATGAAATTAGAAGCGAGTCACATTTACATAAATTGGTATACACAGTTATATAAAATACAGTAGTACAGTACCTACACAAGTTAGCACCAACATATTATAGATTTATGATTATGATTTTTATTATTGTTGATTTAATATTTGAAGATATGATTGAAAGTCTGCTGTGGTATAGAAGCTATTTTGGATAAGAATATGTTTTAGTTTTTTTTTAACATATTGTAGCTGAGGTTTTTTAGTTCTTCTGGAAGTTGATTATAGAGGTGACTGCCTGCATAATTGGGTGATTTTTTATAGGTCATATACTTGAAACTATTTAGGTATCGTCACATGATTCTTGATGTTTCAAATTGAAGATTAAACGAATTATCCGTTTTTGAGATGTGAAGACTCTCAACCAGTCAGTTGCTTGCCCCCATGAGGCAATATTATAGCTTATTGCAGAGTAACCTAGAGCATAATACACATTTATTAGTGCTTTTTCATTTAGATATTTTTTTAGTGAGAGAATGGCAAAGTAAGTTTTGTTGAGTTTGTGACAGAGGTTATTGATTTGTTCGCACCAGGTTAGTGCCGGATCTAGTGTGGTGCCTAGGAATCTAATGGATTCAGATGGGATTATTGATGAATTGCTGTCAAGGTTAATTTTACCCAAACAAGTGGCAGCATATTTTCCTGTGAATTGCATGTAAGATGTTTTCTGAAGATTAACAACCAGATGATTTATTTCACACCATAATGTGAATTGGCGTATTACTGTCTCAACCTTTGAGATTACCTCATCATTCTACCATCTTCAATGAAATCAGGCAGGTCATTAATGTATAATAAAAAGATCAGAGGCCCTAGTGTACTACCCTGTGGGGTTCCAAGCTCAACGGTATTAACTTCAGAGTATGTATTGCAAACTTCGACTGATATTTTCCGATTTTCAGTGAAAGAGACTAGCCAGTCATGACTTCAGTTGTAGCGGTTTCAGTTGACATCTCAGGACGAAATTCATGCTGACAATCTGACAGAAGTTTGTATTTGTCAAGATAGCTTATTAATCGGATGTAAAATGCTTTCTCCAATATTTTAGCAATTGGACTCGAAACGCATATTGCTCGATAATTTTCTATGGATTTTTCATCACCTTTCTTGAAAATTGGTGAAGTTTTAGATAATTTCAACATATCTGGAAATTTTCCTAAATTCACTGAGTGATTTATTATCTCCGTTAGATAGGGTGCCAGTTCATGCTTGCATTCTTTTATAAGAGATATTGGAACTTCATCGACACTGACGGAGTTTTTGTTTTTCAATTTCGTTATAATTAGTTCAATTTCATGAGTAGTGAACTCTTGGAAAAACATTGATGTTTGCATATTTTTTTTATTTTTATTTATATATGTAGTGACGTCACCATAGGGGTTGAAGGCGAGCATGTATTCAATTTTTGGTTTTAGATCATTTTATGAGCCGATTTCGCTGTTTTTATGAACGGCTTCTGGTTAACAGAGGATGACAGTCGTCAACTTGACCATTCTTCAAATCCCATTCGATTTTATAATGGAAAAACGATGTTTCAAAGCAAAAACCAAAATAAAATACAAATATATTCGAATACGTATTAGCAAAGTTTGTAGTGATTTAATTATATTAGGGATAAGTAGTAGTAAGAGAGAGGGAAGGCGGTTGCCTGGCAAACAGGCCCCCATGGGCCCTTTTTGCTGACCCCTGCTGCACACATTATCTACTCTTCTCCTAATTCTCCTTTTCAAACCTTCCTGAACTTCTGATGAAGGTCAGTATGTCCGTCTACCTTAGGTTGATTACATCTTTCTGATGAAGCATATCAGCACCGAAGGTTCCGTATCTTAGCCTTCCGTATGCCTCACACTGACTCAGGTAGTGGTATGACGTTTCTTCTACGTCTTCTCCACACTTACGGCAACTGGGGTTATCTTCTACACCTATTAGCAATAGGTCTTTACCTAGTCGGTTAAGTCCTGTAAGCACACCTATGAAAACGCGCAGTACTTGGCCGTCTCTGTTCAGTAACCATGCTGTCCTTGATTTATTTGGTCCAGCCACGAAGTCTTTAGACTGCCTGCAGGTGGTGATAGATTAGGGTTAAACTTCACACCTTTCTAATAATTAGAGAGCTGGCTGTATATTTCGAAAACTAGAAAATGATTATGCTTCCCGATACCAATTGAATGGCAGATCTGGGAACCCTACCTATGCCACCTTATTCTAAGTCAAATCCCCGGCACAGAGATTTTTTGCTACCATTATTCCGGACATACTTTTGTCATGTGATCACGAGTTGAAATAAAATGCAAATAGAAGGGAAAGTCTTCTTCGCGAATTATCGAACGTGCCGCAATTCAACCTGATCTTAGTTGGAATCACTGGATGGTAATAGTAGCTGAACTTCTGTCCTTTTGTATTTTCAATATTAATAATGGATTCTCCTTACAAATAATCTGTTTTGTAAATGAATGGAAAGCAGATTCAAATGGATCTTGAAATCTTCTGTTCGAAAATATGGGCCTAAAATATAGTTTCATTCTAATCTGCTGTTATAAAAAGTGAATTTCAATGTATGTACCTCACAAATTTTGCTTGTGTTCAAATCAATTTTCCATCCAGGCAGTTTCATACATTCCTTCGACAAGAGAATGGGGTTGATATATATTTCCTTTGGCCAATCAAATAAATGAAATCCATTCTCTTCAGAATTCCCACAATTCATTAAACAGCAGGGCATTTATGCTTACTTCTCAATAGTTCATGAAATTATATTTCAATTCTGACGTTCATAGTATTTATTGTCAAATCCAAACAATTTTGAATGAAAAAGAGCGGAACGACTATGGTGCTCTTGTCACAATGCAAGGTGTGCACTTAATGAATCTAAACATTCAAAAACACTAGCAGTTGTCATTTCTGTGTCCGAACTCTTATCTGACTAATTCCATCCAGTGACTCTAATCTAAGTTAGTGGAAAGCATCAATATTTCCGGGAATATTTCGTCTTTATGAAAGATAATAAATATCCGATGGACCATCGGTGCGATAATCTGGTTCATCGGATATCATCTTAGACATGAGCGAAATATTCTCGAAAATATTGATGCTCTGCCACCTTAGATCAGGTGGAATCGCAGCACGGTTGGATATTCGTGGAGGGAACATTTTACTCTTTCATTTGCATTTTGTTTCAACTCGTTAACACGTGGTGGAAGTATGTTCGGAATAACGGTAGCAAACAAATCGTTGTGCCTAACGAGTACCGAGTTATAACTGACATTTAGGAGCTACGTCAATTGTTTTCTAAACAGCTAATTATGTTTCAATACACATAAAATGCAGAATAGCAATTATATTGGTCACATTCACGCAACTAGACAATGACAAAATAACAATTTAATATTAACAAAAATTCAAAACTACAATTGGATAGTGATGTCACTCCTACCTTGCTCCAAAGGCGTGTAACATGCTACTATTAGAAATGAAACAAATCAACACTATCATAAATGCATTTATATTTTTATCTAAAGGAGAATGCAAATTCTCATGGTCAGAAGATATTTTCAAATTCTTATCGTGTGTGTTCTATACAAATTATTGTACTGTTTGAATGTTTTTTTAATCAAACAACTCATGCACAAGTTATCCTTAGTGGTGTTCTTCCTGACCCTGAAACAACTAGCTATTTTTCGATTTTTGATACTTTCATATTTTCTTTGAACAATTATTGCATTTACCAGATTTTTAGTCTCGAGTTCCTCTAATTTTTCATCACGACGTGCCGTAATTTTACATCTTTCGATAAATACGATGGACAGTTGGAAATTGATTGGGAACAGCACGTTCAAGCTTTCAAATTTTCAAATCCATTGTCAAAGTATTGCCAGTTTTCACAGACCTTACAGTACTTGGATGGAGTGAAACACTTTCGATTGATGTCTGCTAACCACTTTCTAGATAGGTCAACATCCAAGGAGCACCTGAAAATATGAACTTCTGGACCATTTTTATAATTTTCTGGGCACTCTACACAACACAAAAGATTATATCATACAACAAACTGAAATCGCTTGCTGTAGGAACAACTCTTGGGCCTACCAAAGGTGACGTTAACGTGGTGCTTTGGTCAAAGCACTGTGGCCTTGTTATACGACGCTATACATAGTGGAGTATACTACGGCCTTGCCAAAAATGCTATCTCAGAAACTAAGCGAGATAGAGGTATAGTTACTTTAAAGAAAATGATCCCCATCGAATTTTGAGCAACTTTGGTTTTTGTGTGTGGTCTGTCTGTCTGTCTGTCTGTCTGTCTGTCTGTCTGTCTGTCTGTCTGTCTGTCTGTCTGTCTGTCTGTCTGTCTGTCTGTCTGTCTGTCTGTCTGTCTGCCTGCCTGTCTGTCTGTCTGTCTGTCTGTCTGTCTGTCTGTCTGTCTGTCTGTCTGTCTGTCTGTCTGTCTGTCTGTCTGTCTGTCTGTCTGTCTGTCTGTCTGTCTGTCTGTCTGTCTGTCTGTCTGTCTGTCTGTCTGTCTGTCTGTCTGTCTGTCTGTCTGTCTGTCTGTCTGTCTGTCTGTCTGTCTGTCTGTCTGTCTGTCTGTCTGTCTGTCTGTCTGTCTGTCTGTCTGTCTGTCTGTCTGTCTACTCTGTGGTAATCGATATATCTCCGGAACCCTTTGACATATCGACTTGAAATTTTGCCATCTTATTGTACTCAAAACAATATTATGTCATTAAAATATGAAGGAAATCGGAAAACTCTAAGGTGGTTTTTCCTGGTTTTTTCGATTTTTCACCGGAAGTTTCTTGTGACCACTCTACAAATCGCAAAAGTTGTCCGATCGATTTCATTTTTTGTGAAAAAAAAAACTCAATCAGGGAGAGACGAAGCCTATTGAAATTGAGCAGGGTCGGAAAATTCCAAATGGGTTTTTCAAGGATATTTTCCGAAAAACACGGTTCGCTTCAAAACGACATATCTCCTGAACCAATAGACCAAATCCAAATTTGAAAAATGCACCGTATGCCTCTTTGATGACGCAACAAATTATTATATCAATATTTTCTCGTGCATCCATCGGAAAATGGAAAAACAAATGAAAATCAAAACATCAAAATTTGAAATCCTCAATTCAATATATATCGAAAACAAATGGAAAAATCGAAAATTATCAGAAGTTCAAAGTTATTCACTGGAACATTTCCTACAAATTATTACCCATAATTTTTTCTGTAAACCCAATAGTACAGGAAATAAAGTGAAAAATATGAAAAAAAAATTTGAACGACCCATAGGGTAGGTACCATGAAGATATATTGAAAAACAAAGATTATCGATAGATGAAGCTCATCGACTTCCACTGAACCATGAAATATTTTTTCCTTTTGTTGATTGGAAGATGGAACAAAAGTGTTGAGAATTTTATTCTCAGATAATTCCAAATATCTCGAAAACAACTGAAAATATCTGAAAATGTTATGAAACCAAAATTATTCCTTTTGATAGAATCTACAAAAAATCCGTATAACATTTTTCTCTGAATTCAATAGTTCGGGAGATACGATGAAAAAACTAAAAAATTTACAAGTTCCTAGATAATCACTTGCCAATAGAAAACAAAACAAAAAGCGAAAGAAAGTAAAAAAAGCACACTCGACTGACTTGATTTTTTCCCACAAACTACGTACCTAGCTCACTCGACTGTCTTGATTTCCCACAAAGAAGAAATATGTTGGCATTGTTTGAACTTTCTTTTGTTTTTGTTTTTTTAGTCCCTATTGGCAGTCGAGTGAGCTAGGTACGTAGTTTGTGTGGAAAAACCAAGACAGTCGAGTGGGCTAAGTACGTAGTTTGTGGGAAAAATCTCCAGTTCTCTGAACTTTCATAGCGTCGTATACACATCTTTGGTGCGCCCAATGATAGTTTCAATATAAAAATATGCTCATGATATGGTGCCATGGCATCTACTTCCATCTTACATGAGCAATGATAAAATATCATCTGCTTTTATAGCGTCGTATGAATTATCTGACCTCTATACTAATCTAATACCTAATGAAAACTACATCTATACTAATTTGATACCTTTCAAAAACTACGTACCTCACTTGTTTATTTCGGTGGTAACGGTTCTAACGCCGAATATCGCCTAATAAATTTCCCTGGTTAAATTTTGAATCACTGTATATATTTCGAGATATTCCTCTTTCCAGGGTTCGACATTATTGTCAGATCTTCCCGCAAGTCGATGTAGAGTACATCGTCAAACCGATCACGGAGGGCGTCATCCGGGTGACCTTGTTCATCTTCGCGAAATTCCGGTGGGACCAGAGCGTTCACGGGACCGTGCAGCATTACTACGCATGGGTGGAGGATCCACAGCACGATAGCGTGTACGACATGGAGAGGTTCATTGTTACGAAGAAGATGTGCGCCAAGGATGAACCGGTCGAATTGACGCTGACCGTTCCACTGACCCAACCGCTGTCTTTGGAGTACTTCATAAGGGTCGTCAACAGCCAGTTCATGCGTAAGTATGATTATTATAATTTTTATTATTATTGTTACGAAGATGTGTTGGAGTAAATAATATGGGTCGTCAATAGTCAGTTATGCGTAAGTATGATTTCTTGCATATTGAAAATGTTGGAGTTTTTACACAAAATTATAACACATTCCTACCAGTCACTACTTCGAACTACCCTAGCGGAATTTAACGAGAACTGCCCCGAAACGCGCTATGTACATATGATGTGCCCCTAGCGGCGTTCTCATAATCTCTACAAAACACGTTATTGAAAGCGCCACTATCGGAAAGTTATCAGTTCCTATTCTCCCTAGGAACGCACGATGTTCTTTGAACATTATAGGGATTTCATTTCGTGCGCTCCAAGCGATAAAATAAACTACAAGCTACATCTTGTTATTCAAACGGTATGGAAATATGATCTATTTTTTCCCAGAGTGATTGGGAAATTTGCATGTTCTTTTCTCTGTGGGTAGATGTTGAAAGAATCCTAATTCTTAAAGTACAGTTGCTTACAAAAAAGCCCGACTGGTCGGCAATTTGTACTCTTTGTTTGGGTTTCCGACTAGTCGGCAATCTATTTTTTTTTTTGGGTGCCGCAAAATACTATTATTGATGACCAGATGAGATTTGTTATCATGAGGAACACTCATTAATAAGATCCATTATCTCCAGGATTATTAGGACTATCAGAAAAGTAAGTGGTATCTATTATATCAACAATATTAATTTTTTTATCATCAACGAGTTGTGTCAGTATTTTCAGTTTTTAAACTGCTACATGGAAATCAGAATCTCCATATTCTGCTATAATATCAGCCAATTTTTAACATATTCGTGAGGATTTTTTCCATTTCTCCTGATGTGATTTGATATGTTTAACTCCACTCAGAACGGCGTGTGATCCTGAAGAGCTATCACCTACCCGAACAGAGAAACGTCTATCAGTCAGAAAACACTCGATCCACTTCAACAGATTGTCTTGCACCCCGTAATGTTCTCGCTTGTGAATTAGACGATAAATCGTTACTTTATAAAGATAAGTGGGTCCATGCGGTGACAGCGAAAAGTAGATTTGTGACAACGAAACGAGTAGGAAGAAATCCATGCTGATGTTGATCAACAACGTGATTATTGACTAGGATGAGTGCTCTACACATTATTCGTTCCATCACTTTACAAAGGACTGAGGTTAAACTGATTGGGCGATAATTGTTCGTTGATAACTTGTCCCCGTTTTTGAAAATGGGTGTTACTCGAGCCATTTTCCATCCATCAGAGGGAACACCAGTCTCCATGGATCTATTCATTATTATTGAGTGGCTCAAATAGTTGTTCTGCGCATCTAGATAATAAAAGAGGATGGATATTGTCGGCTCGTAAATGACGAAGAAACTCACAGACGGTGCCTGGGTCGAACTCGATGTTATAAATACTTTCAACTTACCTGGTATCAACATTCAATTGAGGTGGAGGAATACCAGGGTCAATTGTATAGGCTTCAAAGAATGAGTCCGCGAATGCCTCCGTTACTTCTATGTTGTCCCTGCAGATATTCCCTTCATCATTGCGGACCAGAGGTATGGTTACACGAGTGGACGAAGGTGAGCGAGTGTATTCATAGAATGCATTGGGCCCATCGTTCATCAACCGATTCTCATAGTTCTGCCTGACTTTCCGTCCCGTCAAATGATTTAAAAAAATCGGTGGCGTGTGTAGTCCTCATCAAAATTGGATCTTTTGAATCTCTGCCAAAGCGCATTCTTTTCAAGACATTTATCATGAATATTCTTCTTGATCCAAGGTTTTTTGTATGAGATTTGGGTGAGAACAGTGGTGTAAACTTTGGGGCCACGTCGAGTATTGTTTTGGACCAACTTTCCCATCAAATGTTAGGGTCAGCTTCCTCTGGGCAAACTCAAAACCAGCTGATATTTTCGAAATGGTTGTCTAAAGCTTCATAATCAGCCGTATAGTAGTTGAGTCTTGGGTACGAATTTGGCTGGCTTGGTGTGAACTGGAGATAAAACTCAATACAGACGTGATCGGATATACCAATAGGGAGGTTTAAGTTGCATGCATTTGATGAAATTTCATCGTGAGGCATTTTGATAAAACAAGTTTTTGTGAACATGAGTCTGATCTCGATCAGTAGCGGTACAACATATGGTATATGCCAAATCTGAAAATTTGTATGATGAATACTATAAATACTTTCAGTGTATTCTCAAGTTGGATTTACAAAAGGTTTCAGAATATAGAGGGTGATTCAGGTTTTAAGGAACAAACTGAAGTGGGTGATAGATCTCATCATTTTAATGAAGAAAGTAAACATGAGACCGATCTTGATGAGAAGCGGAGCCGACCTGTCTTCAACCCAAAAAAAGTATAGATTGCCCACTGGTCGGCAGTCTACACACTTCCTTAAAAAAAGCGTAATGTATTAGAGAGAGAAATGAACGTCATCCTATTTGCGTAAAACGGGCTATCTGGAACTCATAACAATAAATATTTTTATTTTTCATAGGTTGTCAGAAATACAAAGCATTGGCTGAGCCAGTTTCACACAACTAGAACTAGGATGACGTTAACCTCTTTTTAATAATTGTACGCTTTTTTGTTGAATACAACTATAATAGGATTAATTTAAGTTAGTTCGTACTTAAATTTATTTGGAGCATTGTTTGAAGGATTTCTCAACTTACATTTATTTTTATTGAAAAGATGTATTTGACAATGGAATCGTACAATACTACACTCAGGTGGAAGATTCACAGTATGATAGAGATTCAAAAGAACTTTTTTTATCGGAGGAATTTTTCTTCCTAACGAAATAGTTATTTATTATACAAGGGAAAAAAGTAGTAGATTTTAGCTCCAGGTTGTGTTGTCTCCCGACGCGTAGCGGAGGGAGACAAAAAACCGTGAACTAAAATCTAATATTTTTCCCGTGTATAATACACTATTTTTTTCTGTGACAGAAGGAAGGACGAATCAATATTGAGAAGATATTACATTATTTCGAAATGTGAAAATTATCAACGTGAAATTTCAAGTTTTTAACAGTAGGGACACCTGCGTTTTATAGACATCTTTATCATTCTTTTGAAGTAATCAAATATCTGATGTCACTTCTGTCAGTTCAATTCTGTGATTTGATTTTAAAAAATTGCGAATTCAGTAGTTGTTTAGTAATATACGAAACCGCGAAGTCGAATGGAAGATAAAAGGACTTGCAGTTCTTTCTCGGAGACGGTATTATTGACTCATTTTTCGGAACTATAGCACAACAAAAGCCATTAACAGAGTATATATATGTGATATATATCTGGGAAAAAAGTACTCACTTTTTTCCCACGGGAAAAAAGTAATTTATGAAAAGTGACTTTGTTTAAACTGCCAACAGAGATGAAATGCCAAACTTTTTTCCCGTCACAGAAAAAATATGTTTCCAATCACCCAGGTAGCACATGGCGACTATATGACGTCTAAAAGACGGCATCACATTCGGTTAAAAGACTTCTTTTATCATATCCAAACTGACGTCTGAATGACTTTTTAGGTCTTTTGGACGTCAATGCGGTGTTTAATTATGACTTGAAACTCACGTTATTTACTAGCTCTGGTCGTCGTAGCGACTTCAATATTTGGAAAAATATGCCCAAACTTCTCGTTTTGCGGTTTGTTCTAATCATCACTTGAATGAGAAACAATGTAATAAGAGGAAACCTAGTTTTCAAATGACACTCAAATTCAGAAAATAGGTTTGTTCGCGTTCGAAAAATAAACAGTCCGAAACCATCAGAAGCATGCGCAGTTCCACGGAACTTGATAAATTCGTACTGTTCTGTGAAATTGCGCATGCTCCTGATGGTTTCGGACTGTTTATATTTTGAACGCGAACAAGCCTAATAACACTCAAATTCAGAAAATTTGAAACAAATCAGTATTTTTATTTTCACGAATATATTCGAAATTGAGAAAGCTCACTTCATTCCACCAAAACATTCGATGTGATAACACGAAATGTTCGATGATTTTATGAAGATATCGATGTGTTCACCGTCACACAAGACACGTTTATAGTTTCGACTGTCCTTTAAATGGCGGCCAAAACACAAAGACATCTCCACAACATTTATTAGAATGATCAAAAGTCAATCTCAAGGGAACATGTTTCGGGCTCATATAAGCTTATCATCAGCCAATAGAAAATATCATAACACTGATTTTTCTAGAACTACGATATTTTCTATTGGCTGATGATGAGCTTATATGAGCCCGAAACATGTTCCTTCAAGATTGAACTTTGATCATTCCAATGAATGTTGTAGAGATGACTTTGGGTTTTCATCTATGAAAAATATAATGTCCTATCATAATTCCGTGTGACAACGGTATTGAAATTGAGTGTCATCTGTCATCTGCATGAAATAACTAATTATTATTGATATAGATATTCTATAGGAAAAATTGAATTCATTATAGCCACAATACAGTTTTTTTGTGCCTGTTCGTCACAAAATATAACATTGAGACGAACAAATATCGTCACTACTTAGAAATAAAATGAGCAGACATTGACAGTTGGTGACATGTATTGTTACCCCCCTTACCTCTCCCCCCAATAAGCTTTTGCCATCTGCATCATTCTGTCAGAATCTATGGTGCAATTATCATTCTTGAATCTTAATATTCATTAATCACCATAATGATAGAAGTAAAAATTGTAGAGACGGAAACATTGTAACGAGGTATAAATGACAACACTCTATATGATAGTGTTTGAAGTCCTCATAATGACGTCCGTAAGACGTCCAAAAGTTGCTGTCCATGTGACGGAAAGACGACGTCCTTTTGTCGTCATGATTTTGACAAGTGACGAACGGGACCATAAATGACCAAAATTACCGCTCCTATAGACGTAATTTTTGTCTGTTGCTACCTGGGCAGTGATTTTACGAGAATATTTTACATGAAAAAATGAGATTATAGCATCAAAGTGCCCAAGAAGAAGCAACTTTGAAACGTTCAATAACCATAACTACTATTTATCACGATTTGTTTTTCATTAAGTTAATTAGCTCATCATTTTGAAGAATTGTTGACAATTTGAAAAATGTTCATTCAAGAGAATAGAAATGGTATTCCAATTGTTTCAGATTCTGAAACCACCCAAGTGATAAACCTCCAAGACCTGAAACTTTTCACCAGCGATTCGTTTCAAACAAGAATCCTAGACTTACAGCCACTGCCAAAAAGTGTGCTGCAGAAAAAATCATTTGAAGATCTATATCCTTTCACGCATTTCAATGCGGTTCAGAGCCAAGTGTTCCATTCTTGCTTCCACACCGATACACCCATAATTCTTGGAGCACCCACCGGTTCTGGTAAAACTATTGTGGCAGAATTGTGCATTTTGCGTTTGTTCTTGCAGAATCCCAACCTCAAAGTAAGTTAATCAATGTAAGGTTAATATTGGGTACCAGGGTTTTTTCTCTTATATAAATATAAATTGAATATAATTTCTCAACGATTTCAATTTTTTGGCGTTGATTCCGAATACTTTCGAACATACAAAAATGTGCATTATGTGACAAATTGGTTCTTTCTCAAATCTTTCCATAATCTATGATTTTTTTTAGCTTCAAGTGACGAAAGAAGTCAAACTTTAGAGCTCTTGATCGATGAGCCTAATCATTATAACATGTAGGGTTATTTTAAAATTGAGCTTGATTTATGATAATTTATTATGCATATTATCCAAATTCGTTTTCAAACATGTATTCCCATTCTTTTTGAACAGAATTGTCTCGATAGATTAAAATATCTTCATAATGCAGTCAGAAGTTATACCGAGAGGTTTAGATTGTTCAGTTAGATCATTATCAGAATAGCTGGGGAATTGAGTTTTTGAATGGTTTGAAAAAGTAACAAAACAAATTTTAGTCAAATATCATCGGTTACATTGCATCCCAAAAATGTTGCAAAAATGTTTTTTTTCATTGTTCACAACAAGAACATACTAATTATCTCCAGAGCGTTTTTTCTTCAAGTTGCTTTTATTTGCCAATATTTGTATTGGAGACGTAACTCGATAAAATTCAAATCATAGGACGATTTGACGAGTACACATTCATAAAATATTCTATTTTTCGGAACGTCATTCTATAGATTCTGAGTAAAAACATTGTATATTTTTCTTTTATCATCATGAAAATATTGTCACACAAGTTACTGCGTTACTGAATCTATAATTCAGGGGTCGTCCTACATAATAAACACAAAATAGTACCAATTTCTTATATGATGGAACTTCTGTTGAGTTTTTTAGAAACGAATTTTAGTTGATGCGTAAACAAACAAAACTAACCAGGAATAAATGATTGATATCCATGAACAACCCTAGCCTATGGCCTTCCTTAGCTGACGTCAGAGCCTTGCTGTATCGGTGGTAACGCCCTAATTATTTAGCTGACAATGATTCTATAGAGAAGCCCTCTTCTATTTGCGCTTCTCATAGCTGATTTTGAAACATTCTTCTATGATAGAGTTCCCAAGGTTTAAACATTGATGGTCAGAATGATGTATTAGCACTGCTGTATGCAGATGCCTTAGTAATTCTTGTCCATTCAGATATTGATGTTTAGAATTGTTGTTGTGGTTGTTGTTGTTGTTGTTATAAAATTGTTCTATCCGTCATTCGATTGCCCCCTTACGAGCAACCCTCAGAAGTCTTCGAGAGACTTGTGCGAGCAAGGAATGACGGGGGCCTTACCTTTCAACGTGTGATCCCAAACACTTTCTTGGGCCATCAGAAACATTTCTGCAGTCGCGGGAATTGAACCCACGACCGGCAAGCGAATGCGGATTAAAATACTGACACTCTGTCCGCACGGCTACCTGGTTTAGAATCATACACGGTTTGTAACGAACTGACTGTTGATCTACAGACAACTAAAATTATGCAATTCTCTCAAGGCGGAAACTGGAAGAGTTAAACTGTCATATAACATATTCAAAATCACCCTTTACTGGCTATGTAAGATTTTTATGGAAGGAACCAAGTACATATTTACTGTTGAAGTTACCGATACAGATTACTCGCACTCTTGCACAATCGCGCATGTCCAATCATTTTAGGATTAAGTTCACATTTAACGGAATTGAACATTCGACCCAGATTCAATATGTTCTGTTTGCAACAGAAACGAAAAAGAAACCTTATTCCATATTATTTTTGAATATCCGATTTATACTGTAATGAAACATCAGTGCCTTCAGAATGTGGAAGCACTCATCAACGTATCAGAACATCCAACAATTTCGGTAGCCAAAGAAATTTCTGAGTATACATTTATGGAATATTCTCAACTTACGTTTATTTATAATAAGCGAATGATATTAATTATGTATATTGAATAAATGATGTTCATTGTCTTTTCATGAATGAATAATCCACTGTCGGCAAATTTTCATTAAATCTTCATTTTTTATACATACATATAGTATTTTTTTCTCTCTCTAATTTTTATGTTATTTTTCACACACCATACAACCCTTGCTGTAAACTTGTTTTAGAAGTAATAACATTATTATTATAGAGAAGTTCATCTTGCTATATGGAGTCACAAAATATGTATGTCCTTGTCTCCAGTGTTCCAATATAAAATGAAGTTTTTGTTTCAAGAGTTGAAAATTATTTTTTATACAAATATTGTCAAAATATAATAGTTGTGAACACTTTGAACATTTTCTTCTAACTGACACTCCTAGAAGTACGAAAAAAAATGTGTCTACAATTGTAGACATTTGTAGTCAACTGCCCAATCCAAATCAAACTTCGTGGAAGGTCTTGAAACAGTTGCGATTTTTCTGAAGGCACAAATGTACCTTACATTTAGTGCAAATCCATCGAGACTTGCCCATGCAGCCAACATTTTTACATCTTCCAGGTAGGGACACTCCAGTGTTCTGGCATATGATTCACATTGTCTAACTGTACATCTGCAAGAGGCCTCACTTCAGTTCTGTTTCGACTCGGCTGAACTAAGACGTCGTCTTTTGATGGTCTCCCTACCTTTTTTCTGGACATTTAATTTTTCTGTTCGATGAGCACCTCCCCTATCTCCATTCTGAAGTGTAATAAATCTAGAATCTTTTTTGCTGGCCGACCAAGCAGCTGAGAGTATTTTCTGTACTCTGTCCACGAATTTATGAGTGCCATATCTACCGCATGAAATATCATCCTCAGTGTCCATTTCTTCGACCTGATTTTTGTTCGATATAATGATATGAGTGCGTCAGCTTTTTCGACGCCACCCATAGAGGTATTGTATTCCTTCACTATTTGTGGTCGATTCACTTCAACACGAGATTTTGTATTTTTATTCCAGCGTTTCACATTGTCCTGGTCTCCTATTCCAATATACTTTGACGCCAATGCTACTGGTTTATTATCCAGCCAATTGACCAAAACAACTCCTCCGTTTGATATGACTTCTTCAGAGAATCCTCTCTGTTTTTTACGGAAATCTTTGTCGTTTGTGAGAGGAGGCTTAGAGAATCTATTCATTCTGACAGTACCCGTCACGAAAATTGACTTTTGGTTCAGAACCTCGATCAAGTTGTAAGACGTGAAATAGTTATCACTGCTTCCGTGGCGCTAAAATGTCTGACAGGTGTAATACTATCGCAGCACCTTGCCGACATTTTTTTGATAACTGGATCGATTTCTGTTGGTTTTCCTTGATAGATGATGATTGTGCGTTAGACCACTTGCACCACAAAGTAGAAATAATTTGAAGCCCCAAGGATGTCGCTTATTTTTTATGTACTGTTTTATATTCGAGTGGCCTTTGAATGGGACCATCTGTTCCTCCACGCAAACATTGTTTTCAACATCTAGCTCCTTGCATCTATTGAGTACGGAATCGAAGATTGGTCTCACCTTCCACAGCTTATCGTTTTGATTTTGGTCTTCCAAATTGTTGACGCAATGTAGATTGGTTCGAAGTTTGTAGAATCTATTTATAGACATTGTCTCGTGAAATATTCGCAGTTTCAATGACTTATTCCAGTACATACATAGTCGTGGAAATTTCAAACAGCCGGTGATTATGTGCAATCCAAAGGAAGCTTTCAGCTCTTTGGTATTGGTGGGTGGGAAATGAATGTCGTTGTTTTGTAGTGCATAGATATTTGTACACTCTACCATTTTATCAAATAGGTTATCTGGAAAATATTTCATGAAGTACTCTATTGGAGAAATTTCATTTTCAAGTGATACATTTTGCACTGATTGACTTTTTTGGAACATACTTCTGGTTTGGAACCTGGCACCTAGCATCCATTCGATTTCGCTCTTTTGAGATATAGAAATGTTTCGGAGCATGTCCTCAAAATTTCGAGAATTTGGCATTGGTTGCTCATCATCAACCATTCTTTCTTCAATGATATCCTGGTCTTCGTCTGGTGGCTGTTCTAAATTTTCCTCAGTGTTCTTCTCCATGTCATCTGGCAAGGGATCTCCAATTTCTTTTGGTATCATAATTTCTTCATCACTATTTCCACTATCAAGACCTTCTATGTCAGAAAGGCCCTTCTTAATTTCTTCTAAGAGTTCTCTTTCTGTTAAAATTCGCTTTCTGTCAATGATTTCCTGAAATGAACAAAATATTTGAGTGAAACAGATAATCAGTTCGTTGAATACAAATGTCTACAATTGTAGACACGAGATTTTAGGGGCCTATTACAATCTCTAGGCGGAATATTTCACGAAAATGTATCTGAAAGCATCAAAATAAATCATTTATGATTGAAAAAAAAACATTACACTGACTGGATCATTAGAATGTTTCGATAAAATTCTAGAATTATGAGATAATAATTTATCGTTTGAAAAACATATCTCTAAACTATGCACAAAACTGAACTATCTATGCTATCACTTGAAAAATAGTGCCATGAGGTTCAACAAAAAAACAAAATACCGAATTTACTATTCACATGTGTATTCCCATATGACTTACTTAGCTGCTTTTTGGGGACAAGCAAGGCAATTAGATATCAATAGATTACAAATAGCCCAGAATAAAATAGTTAAAACTTTATTTAATTTTCCATATAGGACAAACACAACAATGCTTTACAAAGATCTAAACATTTTGAAAGTCCCTGATATAGTTAAACTGGATAGTGTCAAAATTATTTATAGAATCAAAAACAACCTAACTGAAACAGAAGTCAACCTAACACAAAATTGTGATATACATTATTACAACACGAGAACAAATCAACACTTCCACATACTACCTAGTGCAACTAATGTTGAAAAAAAAAGAACTACATTTCAAGCTCTTCAATGGTTTAACCAAATTCCTGAACATATTAAAAACAGTATGGACGTAGGTACACTTTCAATAGACACATGAAACTTCTTTTAGAAAATATGTGATGTATAAAAAAGTATCTCTTCCTACATGCACTACTTGTAATTTTAGTTGTTTAAGCTACAAACATTATTATTTAATAAGTATAATTAATAATCATACAAGTTTGTTGACATGCAAGTCACACATATAATAATTGTACATATGTTTATTACTCATTATGGGTCTTGTTATCTCTTAGAGTATTAAAATAAATTGAAAAAAAGAAATGCTAGAAAGGCTTCATGTCATTTTTTGTTGTATCAACATAGGACAGAAAGGTAATACATATTTTTCTCTCCCAACGCTAGCTGAACTTCTCTATTAACCACAGGTAGTCTACATAGCACAAATGAAAGCCTTAGTGAGAGAACGCGTCTTGGACTGGTCTAAAAAAATTCTCGAAAATCGGCAAAAACGTCGTCGAAGTGACCGGAGACATAACCCCCCGAGAAATGGGATGCGATGAGCCGAAACTGGATGGAAAAAGATTTCGTGAAGAAAGTCGGGCTGATGGTGATCGACGAAATCCATTAACTGTTTCCTCAAATCTTTGTTCAAAATTGTCGTACTGCGATATGAGTTTTGAAACGTAGGTCATCATCAATAAAGAGTCCCAAATTTTTTATTGTTTTACTAGGCTCAATACTAACACTATTAATCACCACTTCATCCATTGTATGTGCTCTTTTACCGAAACAAATCATCTGTGATTTGGTAAACCATGTTTATTTGAATACACGAATATTTTATCTAGGGTATCATTGATTTTTGAAACAACTATATTAGCATTATCATCATTCAAGCTTGCATACACTTGCGTGTCATCTGCGAACTGGTGTATAGAACAATCTGAAGATAGATCTTTCAAATCCATTGTATAAAGCAAAAACAGGAGCGGACCTAATATTGAGCCCTGAGGAACTTCTGTATTTTTCCACAGGTAGTCTACATAGCACCAATGAAAGCCTTAGTGAGAGAACGCGTCTTGGACTGGTCGAAAAAATTCTCGAAAATCGGCAAAAACGTCGTCGAAGTGACCGGAGACATAACGCCCCGATCCGAATTCATCCGCTCCGCTAACATCATCATCACCACGCCCGAGAAATGGGATGCGATGAGCCGAAACTGGATGGAAAAGGATTTCGTGAAGGAAGTGGGGCTGATGGTGATCGACGAAATCCATTTGTTGGGGGAAGATCGAGGGCCTGTGCTGGAGGTCATCGTGTCCAGGATGAATTGCATCAACATGAAGACGAAGAAGTCGGTTAGGGTTGTGGGGCTGTCGACGGCTATGGCTAATCCTGGGGATTTGGCCTATTGGCTGAATACTGACAAGGTATGAAACAAGACCTCAGTGAAACGCCCTCATCCCTTATGTACCCTACCGAATATTCATATTTGGTTTGTTTTTCTTGCCCTTGGAAACACAAGCGCTCCGATTTTCATCTCTCGCAATTTTCGCCATCATTATTATTATTAATTTGTTCGTTTGGTAATTAATTTTATTATTTCGTTTTCTTCTCAACACTTTACCCGCTAGCGCCACCACTTAGCCTTGCAACGAACTGTACCTCGCGTACCTTAAACTAGCTGCACTTTTATAGTAATCTCGTTACCGGATCAATTCCCCAACTATAAACTAGATCATAACGCCGCTACTGGTACCGTATTTTTAATATTTTCACCGTTGTTGGCCTCTGGCTTGTCACTTATCTTTGGACGTTGTCAACATAAAAAATGGATTTTTGTATGGCAAATTCGTATTCGACTTGACACTTCTCAGTTCTCAGTGACAATTGGTGACCTTGGCAATCCAGAGAGTTACATGATCTTTTCATTAATTAATCTTGAATTTACCATTTTCATTTTCAGATTTCAATAGTGAATGCCATGTTCTATCTATATCAACTGAACAGGAAGCAATACTATTGTCTCCGTTCAGAAGAATGCAAGCAGATTCCTTGATTTTTCTCTTCTGGTTGTTATCTTCTTTTTCAATGATTTTGATATTATTCCACTCTGCCATATGTTGTCCATCTTCAGTAAGGATATGTTCAGCTAGTTTCGATTTGTCGATGTGTCTTTTCTTTATATTGTACTTATGTTCCTTCGTTTATGTTATGTTTTCTTACTGAAAGAGGTCTCTTGGTTTCACCTGTATAAACATTTTCACAAACAGAAGGTAAATACAATTTTTTGACGATAGTTATTTATTTTTCGGATGTGTTGGTGATAAATTTCAAGTGGAAACTGTGTTCAAAACTGAAAATACAATGAGATCAATTCTAACTCAAACAAAGCCGAAAAATGGAGAACAATCGTCAAAAAATTGTATTTACCTTGTGTTTGTGGCAAGTTTTATACAGGTGAAACCAAGAAACCTCTTTCAGTAAGGACAAAGGAACATAAGTACAATATAAAGAAAAGACAACTAGCTGAACATATCCTTACTGAAGATGGACAACATATGGCAGAGTGGAATAATACTAAAATCATTGGAAAAGAAGATAATAACCAGAAGAGAAAAATCAAGGAATCTGCCTGCATTCTTCTGAACGGAGACAATAGCATTGCTTCCTGTTCAGTTGATATAGATAGAACATGGTATTCATTACTGAAATGAAAATGAAAAAGGTAAATTCAAGATTAATTAATGAAAACTCAGAACTGAGAAGTGTTAAGACGAATACGAATTCGCCATACAAAAATCCGTTTTTTATGTTGAAAACGGGAGCAGATTCGTTCCCGAAACGTCCAAAGATAAGTGAAAATTTGATATTTTGTATACAAATTGTCACTGACAAGCAAGTGAATTTTTCTTTTAGGCTCTCTGATAGAATTCTTTAAATGCAGTGACATTTTGGGGTAAATCATCTGATGTGTCCTTACTACAGGTATACTGAAATATTATTGATATTTTTATTTTATAGAGACGAGGAGAGAAAATCCCAAAAAATCTGGAATAATAAATATTTGGTTGTTGGTTTTAATTATATTTATGTTTTCTTCGCCCAAGACCCAAGACAAATGGTGTTTCTACCTTGTTAGCCAATTCCCAGCACTTTCGTCAGAGTACAAACCCCAATGTCACCACTAACTAGTAATAAATGTTAACATAAAATAATTCCCTGATCAATTCATCTTTTAAACACTTACGCAAAAAAACCGGCCACCAGAAAATTTGCCCAAATTGTTATCTCTGTAACTTTTTCAATCCTTGTCCGAATATTATGAAATTTCGATCAAATCGTAGATTTATGCTCCAGAATGTTAGCTTGAATATTAGTGTCGGTGAAAAGCTGATGTCTTGATCATTATACACGGAAAAATCAGAGTTACTATCTCACCCTTTACTTTTTAACGCCCTGTGGCGAAATTGAGTGGTAAAACTTGGCTTCATTATGCTTCGGATTGAAGTGTGATCCCTTCTTAACACAATAGTTTTTGATTCACGTCACGTCAATATTTTATGTGTAAGTGAAGATACGAGTGTTTTAAGAAATTATGGCATTTTTCAATTTTTATTAATAATCAGAATCTACATAAACATATTGACCAACAACTGGAATAATTGATATCACTCATTTCTACCTCATTTTCTTGGCACTCACAGGAAAAAAAACTTAATCACAAAAAAAATAACAAAAATCAGAATGTCGCCAATAACGAATATGCCCTCGACTTTGAATTACAGCTTTCAACCGCCGTAGCATCGATTTGATCAAATTTTCTCAAGTGGTCTTGAAGAATTTCCTAAAATTCTCATTGAAGGGCGAATCCTAGCTCTTGAAGAGCCTCTGGAGTTCATCCCTAAGATGCTCAATTGGTTCTGAATTTTTGTTATAGAAAATCAAAAAATTCTATACGTTCCTAAAACACTTATATCTTCTCTTAAAAATAAGATAGAACCATTATGTTGAGAAGGAACGAAAAAGGACCACACTCTCATGGGGTTGTACATACTAGTCGAATTTACGCCACACACCTATTTTAAATAGTATTTGATGCAATCATTCGTTATTTAAAATTATCGCAAATATATTTTTTTCAATAATTCAATTCGGCGACTTCAAAAAACTCCAGGTTCGATGACGAGATCAACCGAAATCTGGCTTTCGAATAAAAAGTAGCCAGATTTGTAACTAGTAATTACCTTATGAATTCAATATGACCAATGGCAATAGTATTCATATTCACACAAGACAATAGTTCGACCTAATAATCACTTATTGAATACTTATATATTTACTAGATGCTTAGGTACCATTAAAAATATCCTAGTATTTATTCCTAATGATGATCAAGATTTAATTTGGTCCCAAATTATTTTCTGAAGTAATCCTGAGACAATTTTAGGAAAGAAGTCTATATGAATTTGAATGTTTTTTCACGTTTTTTTTTTCAAATAATTCCAAAAATATAGTTATTTGTTTTACTATGCAGAAAAGGACAAGATTTAAATTGAATTGAATCTTTTTCTGCCATGTGAAACATGGTTTTTTCTCCAAATGTTATGAAACCAATTTTGTGTTGTTTTTTTATTGAAAACTCCATTATTTTGTGCTGACCCAATGTCATTGTCAATTTTTATCACCAATTTGATTAAAATTACTTGACATGTTGCATAACAAAATCATAATTCAATATTAATTTGTATGTAGCGCCTAGAGGGCGCTGCAGATGCTGACATTATTCATTTAAAATTGTCTCAACTCTTTGACAGTCAACATTTGGCATGTTTCATGAAAAAAACTTATTCTCACACAATTTCTTAGCACCAACTCTGAAGGTGATCGTTTTCGAGATATTAACAATTTTCTATGTCGATGCATGTTACTTAGCTTCTAGGACTTTGAGTGAAGTTGCTGTGAACATTACAAAAATTGAGTATTGTAAAGAGGAAACTTGAGAAAATTTTATATATCTCGAAAACGATCACCTCAAGCGTTTTCGAGGAAGGGAGTCATTTTTACTTAGAAAATGTGTGGAAATCAGTTTTTTTATATAATTAATATAACGTAAATTTGACATAAATAATGTCAGCGTAAGCAGCGCCCCTTAGGCGCTACATAAGAATTAATAATACATTATGATTTCCCTCCAAAAAAAAACCGGATACTGAATTTCGTGTGAAAACCTTATTTTTACGTCGGTGGAAGTAGAAGTTTGTTTCTCTGGTAACAAACGAGGGGCAGAAGTATCGTATTAGGGAGATGATGTGACATATTTTCTCCCTAGGGAGTTTACACCAACTTTTCATTTTCCGCTTAGCTCTGCGCTTTCTTTTCGGAACACCCTTCTTTGAAGCGAGTATAAGCTGCTTCATACAGATTGCTAGATCTCACTGGTAGCAAGTTAAGAATCACTGCAGAAACAGTATCGATAGTTGCTTGGGGTTTTCCCTCGATTTCTTGATCCACAACCATTAACCATTTTCAAAGCTGTTTTCATAAATTTCAGTTTGATACTTGCTGTCACCATGGGCTGTCAACAAGATGCATGTTGTTAAGATACGAATTCCACAAACTCTACTACTAATTATGACAAAACACAATTTTTATCCTTCCTTAATTATCACGAATATATCATTTCGATATTCTAACGTATTTATATTACACTTTGAATTTGCCCCTAATGCATACAATTAATAGAGAGGTGATAATAACCCATGTTTTTCAGAGGGGTATTTTCAACTTCAGCTCTGCCGTCAGGCCGGTACCATTAGAAATCCATCTGCAAGGCTTCGAAGTCAAGCACTACTGCCCCCGCATGGCGGCCATGAACAAATCGGTGTATCAGGCGATATGCCAATACGCCTCCGAGAGTTCCGCCTTGATATTTGTGTCTTCACGCAAACAGACGAGGATTACCGGCTACGAGCTGATGAAATTTTTGTTGTCCGAGAGCAATCCGCAGAAGTGGCTGCATTGCGATTCCAACGAATTGGAAGATATTAAATGCAGGTGAGGATTTTTATATACATCAGAAGGGGTGAAAGAACTCCACCACATGAACAATTTAATAATGATCAACGGTCTTGGACAAAAGGACATGTTTCGAAGGATTAATCCTTCATCATCATCCATTTATAAAAAGAAGAAAATCTGAAAATATTTGGGCTGTTTTTGATATCATCTGGTAAATTATTGAATTTCGAAATCGCCTCATGTGTAAACTTGTTTTGCCCAAGTTTAGAATTTGCAGCTTCAAGATGAAACAAGTTATATTGTCTAGTGTGATGATCATGAATTTCGGAATTCCTGATCAATATAAAATTTGATTTAAGCTTTTTGTTGATGATATAATAGGAAATTTTGAGAGTATTGATTAAAAATTGCTCTTCCAAAGAAAATGTGTTTCTTTCCTTCTACAGTTGATTCGTTGGAGTGTCATATGGAAGACGATACAATACTTTCAATGCCTTTTTATATAGAACAGAAATTTTGTTGAAACTATTTTTGGAACAAGATCCCCAAATATTTATGAGATAGTCAATTCGACTGAGTTTATGTGAATAGAGAATGATATTTGATGTATATGTACTAAGTTTAGGACATCTTCTCAAAGCACCAATAATGGGAGATACTTTTCCTATGAGGATGTCAATATGCTTTCCCCATGTTAATTTCTCATCAATCCAAATTCCAAGGTATTTGGTATGGGCAGTTTGTTTCAAACGTTCATTTTTTATTCCAATATTCAGATCAATATTTTGTTTATTTCTTTGACGAAAAATCATATATTGAGTCTTATTAGAATTGAGAGAAAGAAGATTGGAATAAAGCCATTTCTCAACTTTTTTCAAGTCCTCATTTATGATATGTTCTAGAACTACTGGGTTTTTATTCTCATACAGAAGCACTGTATCGTCTGCATATATGGTATAGTTTCCTATCAAATTCATTCTTTCAATATTTTGAATGTATAATAGATAAAGAATTGGACCCAACACTGATCCTTGAGGAACCCCTTTGTTTAAATATAGTATCTTAGACTCACAGTTATTAATTTTAGTTATAATAGTTCTATTTTCAAGATATGATTTCAAGAGATCGTGTCCAATTCCTCTGATTCTCATTGAAGCAAGGTTTTTCAGAAGTATATTGTGGTCAACTGTATCAAAAGCCTTTTTTAGATCCATGAAAATCGCTACTACATAATTTCCTTTGTCAAGTCTGTCCTGAATGAAATTGATTACTTGTAGCACTGCAGATTGTGTACCACTGTTTTCTTGAAATCCGAATTGGTTCAAATCGAATCCATATTTTTTATTGATAAAATCTACAATAATTTTTTTGAGAATTTTTTCTAGAATTTTGGAGAAAATACTTAATAATGCTATTGGCCTATAATTTACTGGATTTTGAGCATCACCACTTTTATATATAGCCCGTAAAGAGGTATTTTTCAATTCATCTGGAAAAATACCTGTTGTGAAACATATATTGATCAATTTTGTTAGTGGTTAGGCCAAAATATTTTTCAATTCTATTATATCTCGTGTAATCAAACCTTCTGGATCAGGACATTTTTGTTTAAGACTGCTAATCGTATTCATTATCTCATATTCATCAGTGGGTATCAGAAGTATTGTTGAATCATTGTAACGTGGTGCAATATTGTCAGTAGTCATATAATTGTAGAATTGTTTCAATTCATTAGCAGTATTTTCACCAATACTTGAAAAGTGTGAGTTCATTGCCTCAGTTATATCTAGATTGCTATTGATAATTTGGTCATTAATTTTTAAAGATTCAATATCTGCCTTCTCGGAAATTTTTGATTTATTTCTCAAACAGTAATTGATTGTATCCCACATTTTCTTTGGATAACCTTGAGATTCTTCAAATTTTCTATTGATATATTCAATTTTAGCTCTCTTTACCATGGCATTAACTTTATTCCTTTGAATTTTATAATCAGTAAGAAATTCTACATTATGATTGTTTCGTTTGAATATTTCAAATTTTTTATTCCTAATTTCAATTTCACGAATTATCGCATTAGTGATCCAGTCATTGTTTTCACGAATCCTCATGTTTGTTTTAATAGAAGATAGTTCTTTAGCTTCCAAAATTAAATTCATTAAATCTTGAAATTCTCTGCACTGACTTTTATTTAGATTTTCAGATAATATTCTTCTGAATTTAGGATAATCAATTTTAATTATTTCTCGTTTTTTATAATTTTTCAATACAATATCTGTTTTTTTAATGGATGTATATATTATTCTATGATCACTTATTGAGGTATCTTCTAATTCTATGTTGAAATTCAGATGGTAGCAGTTAGTAAGAATATAATCAAGAATGCTGAAACAATTGTTTTGTTTCCTGGTATAATACATTGCATCAATTTTGTTCATGATATGGAAACCATTGCTATTAATTATGTTTCTATAATTAGTAGAATCATTACTGTCTGCTAAGAGATTGATATTCATATCTCCCATTATAATAATTTTTTCATGAATCTCCATGGTTTTATCAATATATTCAAAAAAATCACTAATTTTTGAATTCGGTGGTCGGTAGAGGGCAATTATTTTCAATTCCGAATTAAATTGGGAAATATCTCTATAAGAGCCTAAATTTCAAAAATTGTTTGATTTTAAGAAAATATTCGAAAGCACTTTATAAGAAAGCACTGAAAGTATTGTATCGTCTCTCATTTGATATCCCAACAAATGATTTGTATGCCATAACAGAAAAATTTTCATTGGATGAATTATATAAAATAGATTCTCTTAAAGTTTCATATAATATAATAAACAATAATCTGGAATCCAATTTTATTTTGATAAGAAACTCAGAAATTCATGGTCATCACACAAAACAATTGAACTTATTTCATCTTGATTTTGCCGCTTCTATACTTGGCAAAAAAAAATTTTCTCACGCTGCTCTAGCTGAATTTCATAAATTACCACAATATAAAAAATTGCAGACATATTTCAAAATTTTAAATTGAATTAAAAAAACACATGATTTCATTACGAAATGGATAAAATTTATACTTTGCCATCTACTGATTAGTCCCTGTGGCTATTTTTATGACTTGATCGATTTAGCATTTTTAGATTTTTTTGATTTTGTTGTTGTTGTTGTCACCTTATATTATTTTATTATTGTTGTTTGTAATCAACTTCCTCATACCAGAATTTTATTTCTGACTGGAAGCTAGTTTTTCAATAAACAAATAATCACAAGTGACTATCGACAAAATGACACTTGACAATAATGACGCTGAGGACAAAACATAACAGTGACATAGTGTTCTATGTCACTTCGAATCAAAATAGTCGTTGGTTTCTGATGTGACTTGTGTCATTCTGCACTATGCGCTGTTTAAATAAGTGTCTTAGGTTATCTAACTAGAGATAGTTTGAAATAACCCGGTATCGTTGAATTCGTCATGATAATCCCTAACCGATTATGGAATACAATACAGGGTGTCCCATTTAAGAATCAAAAGTTAGGGTCGCTTCCAGTAAAACCAGAAGTGATAAAACAAAGATTGTTTCGTCAATTAATGAGCAATTTGGTACACTAGCTGCCCACCAATTTTCAAAACCCTATCTCGAATAATTCAAACGTAACAGTCCTGGCCATTTTTTGTGCATTTCTCTGTATATGATTATCCGTTCTCGTTTATATTATAACTATAAACAATTCCGAACATCGATCTGATGCGAGGTTATTTTCTCTATTTCAGGATAGTCGACCAAGACTTGGCCCAACTGCTGACTTTCGGTATCGGAATGCACCACGCCGCGCTGACCGACACCGACAGAACCATCATCGAAGAGTTGTACGTCAGCCAGAAAATCCAGGTGCTGATAGCCACCGCGACGCTGGCGTGGGGTGTCAACTTCCCGGCTCGCCTGGTCATAGTGAAAGGTATGCATTGTGTGTATACAGTGTGACCACGATATGATTGCACAGCATTGGGATCTCGGAAACTGGAGGAGATACGAATTTGGTTGAAGGGGAAAATTCTGTCAGGCTTAACGACATCTTTAGCGAACGATATTTGTTATTCTGTAGCTCAGTGGTTCTTAACCGGTGGTCCGCGGACCACTGGTGGTCCCTGGAAGCACCCAAAGGGGTCCGCGAAGCCATCGGAAAAATATTGAATTAGTGACAAGCGGACGGATTATCAATTTGAAATACGACTCTCTTAATTGGTAGATCAAACAACTCTATAAATTGAATCTGCAACTGCAAGGGTCAGGAATTTCGAAGTTGCATGACATGTGCAGTATATTTGCATGTGAAGATAAAATTGCTGCATTTATCGCTGAAATCGAACTATGGATCATGACAGTCGAACAAGATTTTTTTCTACGTGTGATAAGCTGAATCAAATTATTGAAGGAGAGTGTGTTGAGATCAAAAGAGGCAAATTTGAAAAGTGAATTCGATAGCTATTTTCCTGACTGCGATAACAAAGGTAATCGGAAATTGTCGATGTTTTTGAGCGCCTGATAGAATTGAAGAAGAAGTGATTGAAATGCAAACCGATAGTAACTTGAAAAATGCATTCGAAGCAGGAATTGATTTTGATGATTTCTAGAGTCAAAAAGAAATTTCTTTCGCATAGATTTGGGAAATTGCAATTCAATACCTACCTTAGTTTTCATCGACATATCTATGCGAGCAGGGGTTTTATTAGGCACTTCTAATCATTAAAACAAGAACCGAAATCGGTTGGATGCTACTGCCGACCTGCGTTTTGATAGGACTGAACCAAGTATTGAGGAGTATAACAAAATATAAAAAAGATATATTCTGTCTCTGTTATGTTGAATTTTCGCCTAAAGATTCAAATAATGTTGATTGTGAACAGATGCATGTTTTATTCATATATAGAACAATGATCCATTAATTTTCATTCCATGTGTTCACCTCCAAACAGTCAGTGGTCCATGGCAATTTTGAATATTGTCGAATGGTCCCTAAGCACTAAAAGGTTAAGAACCACTGCTGTAGCTAAAGATTGTCGTACCTGTACGACAAAACTTATCGTTTGTAGACGACATCGGCTGAGGTGTCTTTGGAGGCATTTTTTGTCGTTACGTGAAGGAGACATGAGAAATAATATAGAAAGTGGCAGACAGTGGTGTATGTGGAAAGATAATTTGAAAACTGATTATTGAAGAATGAATAACCGGGCATTAGTAGAGCTAGTTCTAGAAGAGATAGCACGCAGATAATAAACTCTTCATTGTTTCTAGTGATTGCATTATTTGGTACATTATATTGTTATATCATGTAATATCATCAGTTTGAGTTACCAGATGTGCTAATTCGTCAGATGTATGTACTGATACAGGGGTTGAGGGTTAGCCAGTAGGAAAAATTCAAGAAGTCCCAAGAGCAAGATATATTTCGTCGGCAGCAAGATATGCAAATACGAACGTGATGTTGAGTGTGAGAAACTAAAAGTTTACATAGATTAGGAAAGAGTGTCAACTTTCCGGCATGTCATATAATCAATTTTATAAAATAATGTCCACTCAGAAGCACGTGTGGATTTTCACTGATTTAAGTAATTTTCAGAACAACTATTAACATTTCACCACTTACCTTAAAGTGACCAAACACCAATCTAAAATATATATTTAGCAAATATATATGTAATTGTTGGCAAACTTGTTAATGGATCATCAATTCATTTCCTCCCAAATCAATCCAACCTACCAGTTCTGATACTTATACCCAAAAGAGCTTCAAGGCTTAAAATCATCGTGAGTGTAAAAAGTTATACTTGATAAGGAGCGCGGCAAAAAACGTGCGACGATAAATGCATTGTGGGTTGCCTGACCTCTAGTAGCTATTTTGAAAGAAATAAAATTCTTTATATACAGTGTGACCCATTTAAGATGGAAGCACCCTTATAAAACTTACATTTTTCAACCGCTTGGAATGATTTTTTTTTTGTTAGGTAGATATTCAAAAAGTCTATTAGGACACCAAATATCATGAATAAATCTCCATTTCCAGGGCCAACTAATCTGATTTTTCAAGGTCAAAAATCTAAAAAAATTACTAGCGATTTTTTTAGAAAAAATCTGACTACACCACTGGATTTGTGACATTTTCAAATGGGTAACATGTAAATTACGTTGAAATGCGTCAATCAATAAAAAAGTTATGAAGGAATGAAATTTGAAAAATATGCCGTTTAATCAACCCATCAATTTTTATTACTGAACAGATTTCGATGAAACTGTGATCAGTAATATTTCAAGACATCCTGAATCCAGTGGAGTATACAGAATTTTCATAAACTTCCTGAACATGAATTGGTGGGTTGATTAAACGGCATATTTTTCAAATTTCATTCCTTTATAACTTTTTTATTGATTGACGCATTTCAACGTAATTTACATGTTACCCATTTGAAAATGTCACAAATCCAGTGGTGTAGTCAGATTTTTTCTAAAAAAATCGCTAGTAATTTTTTTAGATTTTTGACCTTGAAAAATCAGATTAGTTGGCCCTGGAAATGGAGATTTATTCATGATATTTGGTGTCCTAATAGACTTTTTGAATATCTACCTAACAAAAAAAAATCATCCCAATCGGTTGAAAAATGTAAGTTTTATAAGGGTGCTTCCATCTTAAATGGGTCACACTGTATGTAGCAATCAGGCTAGGGAATTTTTCTTATAGTAGTAGTATGATATATACTTCGTTGGCATGTATGCATGCCATCGACCTTACGAGAGGTCCTTCAGCCTATGTGTGTTCTATGGGGGCTTCGTTACTAACTCCATACGCCACCTTAGGAGGGGAACCTTTTAATTGTAACGCAACAGCGAATCGTGCGAAATCATCTCCGCCCGAGGCAACGAAAATTAGAATTTCTCTCGTCTTATAAATAAAATCTGCTCTGCCAGGCATTTGAACCTAGCGACCTTTCCATATGTTCTGTGTACTAGTCGAGCGCCTCAACCACTGCGCCATTTCTTTTTCTTATAATTATCTACATTGATTTTTTATCTTTTCAGTTTTTTCTGCTTTACATTTCATGGTATCTACATGAACTTATCAAAAACCTGATGTGGGTTCAGACAGACTCGACAGTTCATCTCAACCCAATGTGTCGAATGTGTCGATCACTTCATGAGGTTGGTGATATTATTGTCAATAATCTTGTTGGGAAGTTCCCTCAAACAGCTGATGAAATTTTCAACACAAAAAAACAGCACGCGTTTTTAGCCACAGAACATCAACATACTGTTACCAACATTCACCAAATCCATTTATTGCCATGTCCCCAGATTTTTCTCTAACGACATCGATACTGAATAAGCTTCTAGAATTTATCGTTCAAAATGTCGTTGGTCAATGTATCGTTAAGGAAACGTGGTAACGATATCGTATTCTAATGATAAGTTACTGAATAGACCCTTGAATGGGATAAAAGTTGCGCATTCCGAGGATCTTATCAACGGCCATTGAAATTTTCAAATTGTTTTTAGATTGTTGTTCTAAAATTGTTCTATCCGTCATTCGGTTGCCCCCTTACGAGCAACCCTCAGAAGTCTTCGAAAGTCTTGTGCGAGCAAGGAATGACGGGGGCCTTACCTTTTAACGTGTGATCCCAAACACTTTCTTGGGCCATCAGAAAAATTTCTGCAGTCGATGGGAATCGAACCCACGACCGGCAAGCGAATGCGAATTAGAATATAGACACTCTGTCCGCACGGCTACCTGGCCCCCCTAGAGATGTTCAGATATATCGAAACAAGTGAATTTTTGGAAAATAAATTTTAAAAACACATTTCCAAAGCAACTCTTGATGGAATTCAACGTGATATTGATTATTCAACGCGACGTTTCGTATTTTTTTAATTGACTCGGCCGTTACTTGATGGAAATCCATCAGAAACAAAATAATTTGCAACGAAAAAAAGTTATAAATATGAATGAATAGTAATGTCTTCTTAATTATTTCAATATTACATATGTTTCCAAAGAACCACAGAATAGTTCAATCAACCAACGTCAAAAATGGTCGAATAGGGGAAAAATCGTGTATTGCCATGGACATGCCTAAGTCCTGAGCTGTAAGGAAAGAGCGGGGCGTTAGGGAAGTGTTTGAACGTCATTTTTACACTTTTCACTTTCCACTGGATGGAATCTAAGAGCATCAGCGTATGCTTATTTACTCAAGGATAGATGGGAAAGATGAAGGTGTTGTGCATCCATCTGGCAGAAAATATTATATCAGAGTTGACACAATTGAGAAAATCTAAGAGACGCTTATTCAGAGCAACAGCCTTCAACGTCACAGGTTTCCCTACGTTTGCGTTAATTTGGATGAAAAATTGAGGGGAGGATGGATCGCTCATCCCAGTAACAACCAAAAACCCAATAGCACCTGGGGCGATACTGATCAGCATATTTTGCCGATAATCTACGGGATGTGGGATGCCAAGAAGCTGGATATGTGATTTTTTTTTGAACAACCGTCCGAGAAGTGCTATGCTTTTTCTTTGAGAAAGTAGCATTTTTCCGGCCTAGTCCGGGAAGTACGCTCTTCCCGGGTAGTATCACATCGTTGTCACTGTAACTATGAAAATATTGGTAGATATGGTTTTGATAAATGCAGATGATAATTGCCATAGCAGCGAAATAACGGCTAACAGCTATTTGACATGAAATTAGTTGACATTTTGATTCTTGAAAGTTTGGTTGCAATTATCGCAATATACCCCACACAAACACTATACTCCGAAACGCAAATTCATGATCTTTCGCAATTGTACCTCCTACAGTCTTGTAGCAAATACCACATATCTAAAGACAAAGCTCAACTACCGGCACATAACTACGACATTCGTCAGAAAGATCTGTATATTACCCCATCAATGGTGAAAACCACCACACAAAAAGCACATACGTACTTGGCACCAGAACTTTACAATAAAATTCCTGATCCAATCAGAGTCTTACAGCCAATAAACCAATTCAAGAAATCCTTTAGAAAATTCTTCTCCAATAGTCCAGTAATATGATAATCCAAGCAACCCCTTTCCATATCAAAGAATTCATAGTTTTATTACTAAATGAAATAAATCTTCTTCTTATTAATTCGTTGATGTACATAATAAATCATATCGTATGGACCGCCATAGCTGAATTCGTTTTGATTGGTAAAAAAATATTTCCATTCCCGAAAGTCATGGTTATTTGAATTCTTGGTCTAATTCACACATGACAGTAACTGCTCACGTATGATTTATCCCAATTTGTGTTGTGACATTTTTAGAATTGATGTTAATCGCAGTATTTCAAACATTTTTCACAACTTCAAAAACTGCTTTAAGGTGTAATGAGATTCGTAGTTTTAACTATATTTGATTTAAAAAATGTTTCATTTCTCATTGGTTGCATACGCATCGATATCTATGTGTGTATATTGCATGTCATTGACCCTATTGACAGTTTTATCTACCTAGGTAAAGTTTCTTTATCAATTTATCATTATTTACCTAGGTTTAAATACCGTTACTTCTCATTAGAGGAAATCCTTGAATAATGGTAATTTCTCAGGTTAGTGGTGGAAATAGTTATTTGTTTTACTAGGAAGTTAATCTACATTTACTGCCGTGTGAAACATATAATTTTTTCTCCAAATGTTATAAATCCAATTTTGTGTGATTTTTTTATTGAGAACTCGATCATTTTGTGTTCAACCAATGTCAGTGTCAATTTTGATCACCAATTTCATGGAGCGATGCATAGCAACAAACGTTTCCTGCCAAGGCAGAGAAAGTACACTTTTAATGCCTGTTAAGTGTAAGAGAAAAGTCACTTTCCTTGCTGCTTGGGGAAATAGTAGATTGTTTTATTAGGATCAAAAGTGACACTTTGTTTGACAAGCGAATTTTGCATTTGCGAGGCGGAGCGTTTAGCGAAGCCGAGCGAAAGCAAAACTTGCGAGTCGAACTAAGTCACTTTCGATCCGAATGAAACATGCTATTTTTTCTGCAACCGAAACAATTAACTCAAATAAACGTGTGAAGTAACCACCAATGCCGTGCCATATGTATGCAATGCAACAAATATTGACAAATAATTCATGTGGTGAGAATTTTCTACCTGCATTAACAGCAGGTTAGGTTTTCTAGGATGTTCGAATTGTAGTTTCAATATAAATACAACCACAGAGTGACATATTTGTGTATGGACCAGCTGCTCTAATGGCAAATACCGCGCCAGTGCCAGCTATAGGAACGCGACGTGGAAAATGTTAGGATAGTGAGCATATCAACAATGATAATAGTCATTATTTATTCCTCTCCATACTACAATGTGTTTGACTTGATAATCAAATGAAACTAAACAATATCATTGTTCGAGACAAAAAAACTATTGCTTGCCGTGATTATTCAAAAACAAGTTATCCATCCCGAGAATAACGAATGAAATACAGATCAAGCAAGTATTTGAATCTTGAAGGCTTCCATGATCAAAACAAAAATACTTAACTGAGATGTTCATAATTCCAATACTAAACTATAATAAGGTGTATTTATATCTCCAACATGGGTATGAAATGCCAAATCTGCTGAAATCGGAAACAAATCAGGTATGCGTCTCAACCCAAATAACCAACCGTCACAATGTTGTTTATTCTTGATGACGTCCAGTAGATCCTTTTTAGTTCCTAGGAGCTAAAGTTCAACTTTAGCTCCTAGGAACTAAAATTCAACTTTAGCTCCTAGGAACTAAATATGTTGCCTAGCAACATACCTATTTTTGTGTCAGTAATAGAAACGTTAATTCAAGAGCTAATTTTGGTATCAAAATGGACGACTTTTGTGTCGGTTGCAGAAAAACAATATTTTTTCAAATTTCTGACAACTGAAATAAATATCTCGATTAATAATTTCGCGAAAAATAATTAGTTTTTATTTTTTTATTGATTGAAGGTACGGAATATTTCGACGGAGCGACCAAGCGATACGTTGATATGCCGATTACAGACGTCATTCAGATGGTGGGAAGAGCGGGAAGACCGCAATTCGATACGACCGGCGTTGCTTGCGTCATGGTTCAAGAGAGCAAGAAGAATTTCTACAGGTAATGAATAGATCATTTACAATAACCATTATCAATGGGCCTATCCCAAACTAGTTCATTGTCACAAGCCGTTTTCTCCTCAGAGGTCTACATTTTTAAATAATTATTCCATAACTTGAAGAACGCGGGAACACGTTGAACAAGGTGTCCCAAAACAACGTACCATAAATTCAATATGGTGAACTAGACATCAAAATAGACCGATTGAAATCAACATACCTTTATACGAAAATGCACCGTTGATGAAATTTTCATGGATAACTTGGAGCGAATAATACATAAACATCCATTGATAAAACAAATTTTGTATTGGTATAGATACGTAGATGACGTTATAGTATGCTGTGGAGGAACCAATAAACAATCAGATACTTTTCACCAATATATTATTACTATTCATTCAAACGTAAAATTCACAATGGAAACAGAAACAGAAAAGTCAATCAATTTCTGAGATTTGACAATAAGTAAAATTAATGATAAACATGATTTTTCAATTTTCCTTGAACTTTCCCACACTGATATCACTATTCGCAGGTAATATCCCGAGACCATGACAAATAGCCGACTATTATTTTCGTCATAATTCTATCGAGAGTACCTTGTATTTTGAAAATTTGATGAGACCATATGAACATTAATAATCTGAATAACTCCCGAGAGCTTTAGCTCGAGGGAGTTATTCTATGATTATTTATGTTCATATGGTCGAATTGAATTGTCCCAAAATACAAGTTACTCGAGATGAATTAACGAAAATAATAGTCTCTATTTGTCATGGTCGAGTGATATTCAGGAAGATTATTTCATGAACAGTGCAAAAATACTGGTTTATATGAGTTTCAACATTTTATTCAAGTTACAATTCTGCAGATACTATTTGAATAAAAATTCTTCTGAAGGCCGTCTGGGGTATTCTCATCATATCTACAATTGTAATCAATTCATCTAAAGTTAGAGCAAAGAGGGAATATTAACGCTATTGATAGCGTTAATATTCTCTGTTAGAGCTTCTGTACTTTCCATTCTTGTTAGAGGAAAATATTGTAGGCTTCGCTTTTTTGCATTATGCGCAATCCTGACACCTTTGAATTCAATATATTCAGATGGATTTGTCTCACGTTTATGTTCATTAAAGCAACCTTCCTGTATATATAGTTTTCCATATCAATTTCAACTGTGCATGTATTCCTGATATTCCTCACTATTCTCCTCACCCAATCTTTTAGGATTTGGACAACCACGAGAGATGGGGTAGTCGCACAAAATTCATAGTTTTTCTGCTGGCAAAAAAACATGAATTGTTCCAGACAGACTCTTCACTCTCCTCATTATTTTCTGATATCGATCCGCTTACATTATTACGAATTTCTGTAGTGGAAGTTGACCCAAAACGAGACATTTCAATTTTTGAGTGACTGATAGGTATGTCAAAGTTTGACAACCATAGCACTCTTATGCTGGCGAACAAAATAGCCGCTCATATTGTTTGTTTACCTGAATAGCCGCTGATATCGCATATCATGTGACTTCAATCATAACATTTCATAGGTCCAGCCGGATGTGAATGAAATAATCATAATAATTCAACACACCCTCATCAATATAAAATTGCAGCATATAATAGTATTATACACAGGCTAGTGAATGTCCCTCTTTCAATAAAGAACCCAATATCCAGATTGCAGTCAACAACGGATGCAACGTTAATTTGATAGACAATATTATTTCTTAAAAACTCCATAAAAAAGCTATTCAAGAAGTTTATCCTACCATCAAGGATAATGATCAAAATTATAGACCTTTGACCTATTTCGGATCATCAACTGAAAAAATAGCTCAATTTCTACATAAACAGGACTTGAAGAACATATAGAAGAAATAACACGATGGAAAGGTTTATCAAAAATAAGAGAGAAAACATCTCAATTCGAAAAATCAGGGGTATACAAACTTGACTGTGGATCTTGTCCTAAGGTATATATCGGTCAGACAGGTCGTACGTTTAATCAACTCATTCATGAACATAAGATGAATGTTTTGAAAGAGAAAACAAATTCAATATACGCCAACCATACAGTGTGTCCCAGCTAAAACTTGTCACCCACTTAATCTCCGATGTCGTTACAAATATTGAAAATTGCTCGGACAGGTCGATTTCAATTTGGCGAGGGACACATCTTTCTGTTATTATCATATCTCAAAGTTGAAACCTTGAAGCGTAATGGGCATCAACTTTGAATTTTCAAGTAGATCACCCTATGTTTCATTGAATTATTCTTCCTGAAGAACTAGCTGATTTCATCATCAATGAATCACACTTGGGGTCTAGCAAGAAAGATTACAGAGAGATATAGGGTGTTCAAAATCGAGATTTTTCAACTTTAGGATTTTTCATTTTTATAAATCTACGAGAAGCTGCGAGTGAAGATTGCAGCCTTGTGTTTTTGGAATGACTAAAATGGATTTCAAAAAAATCCTTGATACCCTTTGTATACCTAAAGAAGAAAAACACTCCACTTGCCTTCAATGGGATTCGCCACTAGTAGATACCTAATATTTTCTTTGTTCCCTAGGAAATTCCTGTTCGAACCGTTTCCGGTGGAATCGAACCTGCTGGAACTGCTTCCGGTCCACGTAAACGCCGAAATCGCAAACGGAAATATCGCCACCAAGGGGCAGCTCATAGAATTCATAGAATCGACGTTCTTCTACAGAAGGTTGCTGGCCAACCCGACCTATTATCAGATGGAGCAAAACCAAACCGTCGACGAGTACGTCAATGATCTCGCAGATTCTGTCGTTGCCACCCTTCAAGATCACGATTGTGTCGTAGCTCAAGAAGGGGTGAGATTTTTTGCATTTGCTTCACTTTGTTTAAAGTGGACTGGGAAAAGTTGTGTCGTCACAACGTCATATTTTTGTCAAATACTTTTTGATGAATATACAGGGTGTCTGTAAAAAGTTGGGGCATGGCTTGGCTGTGGACTACTGGGATAAAAACAAGTTGATTTAAGCCAACTCACCTATATCCAAAATCGTCTCGTTGAGTCGGTACAAGACGTTGAAGTTTTTTTGGAAAAAAATAATTTCGCTCATGAAAAGAGTAGGCTGAGATCGATTTTCATAATTTTTGGCATGACATATTCTGTGACTGTAAGTCACGTTTTGAGATGGTTTTGATCATCATCAGTGACCTGCAAAACAACCATGTTGCCGTACCAATTTGGTGATAACTCTTCAGAGGTCAGACTGGAAACTTTCAGTTTTTTTTCCAGAAAGATATTCCATTCAGAAATATTTCTTGTATCGTGTTAATGTTTGATAAGTCTCGAAATTCATTTGCAAATAAATAGTATCTGACCTGAGGCATCTTATGCATTAAAAAAATATATTATGACATGGCTTGATTGTAGACTCCTGAGATAAAAATGAGTTGATTTTAGCCAACTTACCTATATCCAAAATCGTTTCGTTGAGTTGGTACAAGGCGTTAAAGTTCTCACCTTAGGTCCTGAATAGTTATCACTAAATTTGTAACGCAAGAGTTCTTGTAAAGCCCGCGAGGACCAGCAACATATCAGTTTGTTCACAATAAGAATACAGTGTACGAAAGGAAATCCCTATAATGTTCAAAGAACATCGTGCGTTCTAGGGAGGATAGGGACTGGAGGTAGGTATTGGATTTTTTTTGAACTTCTGGAGATTATATGTTGTTGGGAATACTTCCTCAGGCAATGAATTCCAGAGCCTAGCCGTTCTATGGATTAAGGAGTTTTGATAAAGGGCTGTTCGACATCTTTCGAGGTTGACAACGAAAGAATGTGCTGACTGGGTTTGTCTAGTTCGTCTGATTGGTATTGCTAGTGAAGGGATGATAGCAGAGATTTCCGAAGAACATTTCCCGTGGAAGTATCGATAGAAAAGTGAAAGGTCGCCGACCTTTCTACGGTGTTCCAATGATGTCAAAGAGTGAGTGAGTGAGTGTGGCGTCACCCACCAGGCGATTGGCTCTTCTCTGGATGGAATCTAAGAGCATCAGCGTATGTTTTGGTGCTGAACCCCATATGTGGGAACAGTATTCTAGTATCTGCGCTTTGTAGATCATGAGAAGCTGTTGAGGTGTAAAGTAGCTTTTCGCACGGAACAAGAATCCGAGTTTTTGTGAAGCAGCTTTTGCGATGGATCTGACATGATTATCCCATGAAACAATGTTGCTGATGGAAATACCGAGCATATATATGGTGGGCTTGGTGGTGCCAGACATCACAATATCGAGCATACTGAGTTCCGCCTTTCTAGAGAAAATACAGGCTTGAGTTTTGGTGGCGTTGAATTCAACTAGGTTGTTGGTTCCCCAGGCTGTGATTTCAGCAAGGTCTTCAATGACATCATTGACCTGCCTGCGCCGTGAGTTCTTACTTTCCTGGGAAGAAATGAGAATTCTGGAAGAGAACGCAGTATGGAGAGACCTACCATCTGCAGAGCTGTGGATGGTGCAAGTGATAACTCTAACAGATCATTGATATGAAGAAGGAATAATGTTGGTGTCAAAATGGATCCTTGTGGAACGCCGGAATTGATGCCAATGGTATCAAACGATACACCGTCCACCACCACATGAAGCGATCTGCCTGAAAGAAAACTCGATAAGAGATGGCATAGCTGAGGTGGTAAGCCGTATGATGGTAGTTTGTGGAGGAGTCCTTTGTGCCAAACACGGTCGAATGTTTTCGATATGTCCAACGCGACAGCTAGAGATTCCCCGTGTTTTTCTAATGAAGCTTGCCATAAATGGGTGACGTAGGCAAGTAGATCTCCAGTAGATCTGCGGTGAATTAGATTTAATTTTCAAAAATGCGCAGAAAACATCAGATCAGAAATCATTTATTTGCAAATGAACCTCGAGAACAAGAACCAACACGATACAAAAAATGTTTCTGAAGGAAATTTCTTTCTGGAAAAAAAACTGGAAGTTTCCAGTCTCACCAAAATTGTACGGCAACATGGTTGTTTGAAACACTTGCAGGTCACTGATGATGATCAAAAACACCTCAAAACGTGACTCACAGTCACAGAGCATGCCATGCCAAAAATTATGAAAATCGATCTCAGCCTACTTTTTTTATGAGCAAAATTATTTTTTGTTAAAAAAACTTCAATGCCTTGTACCAACTCAACGAGAGGATTTTGGAAATAGGTAAGTTGTCCTAAATCGACTTGTTTTCATCCCAGGAGTCCACAGCCGAGCCATGTCCCAACCTTTTACAGGCACCCTGTATATTGGTACATGCATCAAAATTGTATTTATCTTATATTTTATGTTCCCTCTTTCGTACTAGAAGGTAATAAGGACGTTGATTATATTAAGTTTGCCTAGTGTCAACGAACATATTAGACAAGTCATAACTTCTAGAATATGAGACGTACAAGAATGAGATTTTGGTATAGGTAAATAGAATATAAAGAGGAGAGTGTTCGCTTATTTTTCACTTCCTAGTTAATTCTGTTCCACCAGAAATGATTTCTGTTTCAAATTTTTAAATGGAACAACCTGTTCATTGTAACATTTTGGGAATTCTAGACCAATTCTGGATCAGAATGTGATATTTCCAAATGTTTTTAGGCCTACTCCATTTTTTTAGTCTCTTTCAATATTGCATCTAGGTGGACATGATTGAAAGTAAAAAAATCAAAGGACCTCAGGTGATTTCAGAAAATTACATTCGCGAAGTTTATCAATTACACTAGATCCGTTTGCAGATGATTGATGTTCTACACTATAAAATAAAATAACTGTCATTCATTTTTACAACATAAAAAGCATCGGTTTGTTGAATCAAATACCTAATTTGCTTGAAATTTGTACAAACATGGTTGGTCAATTTTTCATTCAAGAAACGCAAAAGAAGTCACAAAATATTGATGTTTTTGTTGATATCAATAAACAAAATACTAAGTATGTGCTATCGTATTCCAAAAAAAATGACACGCAATTTTCAATGACAATATACAGGGGGTGCCGCTACCACAGGGCTGTCAGATATAATAAGTACTTTTTATTAGTCATAGAAAGGTACTTTAATGCCATCCAAAGCAGTTTTTTCATTTTTCAATTATCTTGTCAAATAAGCGAGATATTGCCTACAAAAACTTGGGACATCCTGTATAGCCCTCTTCGTTTAATGTTGGCATATTTTCCACACATTGTAAATAATAGTGATTAGCAGCCTTTGGATCTTTGTAAGGCCTTTGACACTGTAAATCATAATATTTTCTTGACTGAACTATCATCAATAGGTGTCAGAGGAAAAATTCATGATTGGTTTCAAAATTATTTGAAGAATAGAAAACAGTATGTTGAAGTGAATAATACTTGTAGTTCATTGATGAATATTACATGTGATGTTCCACAAGGGTCAGTTTTGGGGCCAATTTTATTTTTAATTCACATTAACTCAATATCTTCTCTGAAATTGAAAGAAAAACTAAAATATTTTTATGTTCTGATTCCCACGAAAAGGGTTATCTGGTAATGTTCAGAGAACATCGTGAGAAACCAAGGGAAATAAGGCAGGAATTGGTGTTCTTTTTAAATTTCTGGATAATAATAATCCATTCTCCAGAAAATTTTAACGATATCAATAATATTAAAAATAATTTGAAACAAATATCATCTTGACTAACGACAAATAAGTTGACTCTTAATTATAAATCTACGTATATGTACATCTCAAAAAGAACAACTGACATATTGAATACCCCAATATGTTTCAATAACAAATCCATCGAATATATAAATGTAACGAAATGTTTAGGTCTTTATATTGATGAACAATTATCGTGGACTCTACATATAGATAGATCATTTGAGGAAAAAACTGAATCCTATTGCTGGTATTTTATATAAAATTATAAATTTCATTCCTAAAGATTATTTATTTCTGTCTTATTTATTCAAATATACAATATCTAATATCTATTTGGGGAAGTACAAATATTCCACGTTTGAAGCCACTCATGAAATCACAAAATAAAACAATAAAGTGCATTTTAAATTTACGTTTTTAAGAATCAACTATAAATCTATACAAACCTAAAGACTTGCTGAATCTAGTTTCATTATATAAACTCAAAATTTGTTGTTTCATTCATTTCGTCAGGAAGGAATTGAAAATATCAAATTTGAATTTTAATGAAGATAATACGATTCACGCCCATGAAACAAGGCGATTTAATTTATTGATAGCAAATAATTATAAGTCAAATTAAAATAATTTTATATGACTCCTTACCTAATAAGTTGAAAAATATAGAAGCAGAAAAATTTTAAATCAATGTGAAGAAATATCTGCTCAGTAAAATTTAATTCCATATCCACTAATCAATCATCGATTACTTGAAATGTATTATAATATTTTAGTTTTATCTTATTATAATTTTTTTTATGAAAAACAATGATTATTGAGCAATTATTGTGCAATTATTGTTTTGATTTATTATGTAATATGTATGATTTGTTGTATATATATCCCTATTATAAACAATAATGTTTCTTGGTGTAATAAAAACAATCAATCAATCTGAGCGAAGCGAGATCTTGAATTGTCTAAGCTTATTATGAATGTATTGTTTCTATGTAATAATGAAGTAAATCAGTTGAATTATCTTTGTTCTAGGAGATGAAGCTCTTTTACGAATCAACATTTTTGGGAATGTTGGCGGCACAATATTATTTATCTTACAAGACCATACATTTCCTCAGCGAAAATATGCAGCCGGATAGTTCAATTGAGGACCTTTTGGACCTCGTCTGCCAAGTTGAAGAGTACAGGCTCTTACCAGTCAGGCATAACGAAGACAACATCAACAGGTTTCATAACCATCAAAATATTTTGGGCTCTCCTGTTTACTGATATGTTTTTTACTTCTAGGGATTTAGTCAGAGAACTTGGTCTGAAAACCTCATTTGCTTATGATTCTCCTTGTTTGAAAGCGTTGGTGATGTTGAGGTGTTATTTGTTGGATGTGAACTTGCCCAATCAAGAGTACGTTCTTGATTTGAAGTCGGTGTTGGATCAAATAATCAGGATAATACATGTAAGTGGTTTCAACATCAAACTTTTATCTATTATCCCCACTCAAACGCGAAGGAAAATAGATATCAACAAATACATTCCATTTCAATTCTCATTTAAATTATCGACAATAGAAGTTTTCTTCACATTGCCAGCTAGATTTCCAGATTTGACCCTACTTGACGATTTCTAATGATATTTGAATAGTAAATAAGGCTACTTGAATAGGCCACATTGACTTTGAGAATGAAAGCAAGAAACTGAAAAAAATGTAAATACATTCTCTTTCTGAATTGAATTTTGTCTTCACAGGAATGGAGATCATATTGAACATCTTTGATATTCATTTTTCTAGATTCGCGTCTCTGTAAATTGACGTCATCGGGCCATTATTCGACTACTTATACCACTTTGTAATTTTTTGGGTTGACCCGTCCAGTCACATGTTACTTATATCTACGTTTTTTTTACTCAATTTTAATTCCCTACGCACTGTTTTACCACTAACCAAACCGATTTTTTACGCCTTGACACGTGTTTCGCTAACTATGTTATCATCTTCAGGAGAAGATTGAAAGTGTCGAGGCGTAAAAAATCGGTTAGGTTAGGTTAGGTAAAATAGTGCGTAGTGTATTATCGTGCCAAAGGTTCAAGTCTTCGATATATCAATTGTAATTGCATCGCCTTTTATATTAAGTGATCGATAGGCTGTCCTGACCTCATTAGTGCATTTCATATTTAGGGTTTTCGACTTTTCGCTCAACCACGTGATGCTGGTGAACTTGATGCAAATAGTCTCCTGAACCATCAGCGTTTCTATCAGTGAACCCACCAAACCCCGGAGACCGTTAGATTAGATTAGATTTAGAATGGGGTCTTCAGGCTATCTGCCTCAACACCGCGACCTTTTCAGATCTATTGTGTCTGCCCTCAAAATCCAGCTCAGCCTTCTCTATGAGACTGCATAGGCTAGCTTTCAGATCACCTGTGGAACTCTTGACAAGCCCTTACATTGGCAAAGTGTGTATACTGCTGTTTCCTCCTCTTCCTGACAGAACCTGCCGCAGCAGTTCTTAAGCCAGACCTATCGTACTCATGTGTTTTTTCAGCTCACAATGCCCAGTGAGAAGTCCAACTAGTATTCTAGTTGCACTTCGTTTCTGGCTCAGCAGAAATTCTGTGAATGTAAGCGATGTTTTTTTTAATGAACTCCTTTGCTTGTCTCAGTCCTAGCGAGTTGTTCCACCATTCTTGAGATTTGATTTGCATCAATGATTTGATACTCGTCCTTTGTATAGGTTTCACAATACCACAGAAGGGTTCTGAACTATTCAGAGCTTTGTTTGCTCGGGCAAGTGAGTCTGCCTCTTCGTTGCCCTCGTACCCTGTATGTGCTGGTACCCATGGTAGAGTCAGTCTGTTCTGACTGTCCAGTTCATTCAGGGGTTTTCTAAGCAGTCCCAGACTAGTTTTGAGTTAACTTGCATTCAGTTGACTGCTTTGATTGCCGCCTGGCTATCCGAGTAGATTGCAATGGTTTTCCCTTTAAACTCTTGCCTTATCAAATTCTTTTACGCAATGATGTATCGCGATAATTTCTGCCTGGAACAACCTCGCGTATTTACCTAAGCTCAGTAAGATTCTTGTCTTTGGCTTGACCTCATAAATACCAGCTTTTGACCCTTCCTCAGTTTTGGAACCGTCCGGGTAGACAGCAACGTCTGCATTGATAGGAAGTCCTTCCTTCCATGCCTCTCTGTCCGTTATACTTAAGTTAAAAGTCTATTGACTGCGAGTAGCCTGTTCAGATCATCCAGTGCTAAGTCAGTTGACTTGCCTGGCTGATACGCATATTGGCGTTCGTTACGAGGGTTTGTAATACCTCGTCCCTTATATATCTATTAGCATTTCCAGCGTTTTGAGCACAAACGACATTAAACTTATTGGGCGGTACGATATAGGCGTTTTGTCACCCACCCTTCCTACTTTAGGTAGGTAGACGACTGTTACTACAAGCCTTAAATATACGACACAGATAAGAAATCAGTGTCTCCTGTCAAACGGTCTACTAGAAGCCCTTAATACTGTGTACTGATGGTGTGAGAGGGTGCAGATGTCTGTGAACCCCCGTGTTGAAAAGGAATATTCTCAGATAAATTATGGACATACAAAAATGGATAATATTTATATGAGGCACTATCAGGCAATACATTGAGAATTCGCATTCTCTATGTGATGAGAATATCAACTCTTTTTCAGTTTATTCAATAGAAAACAACTACTTTCCTGGCTATATGCCGCGACGAACATGAATTATATCTATTGAACACACACGATAAGAGTTTGAAAATAAAATATGAAATCTCCTAAAATTGAGAATTTGCATTCTTCTTCAGACAAAAATATGTATATGCACACATCATTCTGAATATTCAACAGAAAACAACTACTTTCCTGGCTATTTGAGACGTCGAACATTGAATTATATCTGATGAACATTCGGAAGGGGTGAACCATAATAGACCCACCCATCTGGGGTCGCAGTGGAGAGGTGGTATTCGCCCCACTCTCATAGAACCTAACCTAGTATCTCCTGTCCCTTTTGAAGCAGGATGGGGTATATTCCGTCTACTCCAGGGGATTGATAAGGTGGAAATTTATTAATTGGCCACCTGATTCTGTTTGGCCTTTGATATTTCTGTAGCTAACCTCCATTCCATGGCAGATGGCCATTTCAGCTTGCCAATGGTGCTGTCTGCCACTACCGGGCAATTTAGAATTACTGAGGCCGGAAATTTTGCTTCAGTGAGCATCTTCAGACTCTCAAATTCCTGAAGGAATTGAATCTCGAGGGGCTGCTATGACCAAGAAATCCTTGATATAGCAGAAGCAGATGGGGCACAATAGATCTAATTAGGTCGCAGCGCATCTGTCACCATCCAACCTACCAATACCAATCTTTAGACTCTCCTCAAAAGTTGCTATGTGGGTATTATCATTCTTCTTCAGAAAATCTACTTGGTTTACAGTCCCTTCTTTGGCTAGTACTTTGTGGATCCCTGAACTCTTGAACATCTCGGGGTTTCTGTGACCTCCCCACAGAACTTTTTCCACGATTGCCTCTTCGATTTTCTGATCTCTTTTTTGTACTGCGTGAGTTTATGTGGTCCAATCCTGGTCGAGTTTTGCTTTGTTGAATAGCTTTCGCACCTCCTCTCGTAGGGTTTCGACAAACTTGATATTCTAAAAAAATCGTCTTAGAAAAATCTACCGTATTACGAGTGATGTCAGTTTTTTGAGTTGAATTTCCTATAGGCAACAAAACTCGAATTATACGGGCTGATTCACGGTGAATGGTACATTATACGTTCCTGGAGAACGCAACGTAGGATTATTCTGAAAATTTGGTTCCTTGGATAATTTGTTCTGTTCTAATGACCTGAAATATTCTCAGCGAGCGACGTTGCCGCTTATATTGAAAAGTAGCTACAACTTTGATCTTATTAATGGGACACCCTGTACATCATTCTGTTTTTAGATTCTCCCTGAAGAGCTGATTTTATCGACCTATCACATTTGGGGTCTAGCGGGAATGATAACGAAGAGATAGGGTGTGAAAAATCGAGATAATTCAACTTTCAAGAATTTTTTGTGTCGAAACTATTCATAATTGATCAAAATGATTTCGATATCCCTATTCCAACTTTTCACGTACTATCAAATGATATTTAATTGAAATAGATACAGGGTGGTGTAATAAGCTACAATACAAATTCTGGATTCTTTCCTGTTCTGAGGACCACAATCAAGACACGAACTACTTCGACAATACTCTATATTGATCACAAATAACAAATGTTATGGCCGGCCAGGAATATAAACTCAGATACTACTCTAATAACAATAGCTTGATCTATTTCCGACTATAACAATAGGTACTCTAACACCCTTAACAAAATCACAACATTAGGCAGCGTTCAGAATTGACTTGGTTCATGGAAAGTTCATCAATAGTGGAAATTATCCCGAAAACATGCAGTATATCAGCGATCTGCTCTTGACAGCGACTGCTTGTCAGTATGAATTTTTATAAATTGTCAATCACAAGCAAATATCGAAAGCACCGAAATACCTCGTTCTTCTCCAATGTTGGGCTGCTGGATTCCACTCCTGGAACTCTGGAACGTCAACAGCTATGTCTCGGCTGCCTTTTCTTCGATATTTCACAATTTTATATCTCCAACAACCCCATCATTTGATGATTTTCCCTTCATCTTCTATCCCCTTTGTTTTTTCTGTCTCTCTATCTCCCTAGCAACTTGTTCCTTTTTTCCATCAACTATCCGAGATTTCTCTAGTCAATACAGGGCGCATTATTTCCACTGAACAACCTTACTCTAATCTATAACTATACAATATCGAATTGATCGAATAAAACTAAGAGGAGGCATGAATATCAGGCGCAGTACAGTGGTCAACAATCCTAATACCTAAATACCACCCGGTATTTATTTCAATTAAATATCAATCGATAGTGAATAAAATGATGGGATAGGGACATGAAAACCGTTTTGACCAATTATGAATATTTTCGACACAAAAAATTCCTAAAGTTGAAAAATCTCGATTTTTCACATCCTATAACTCTGTAATTATTACTGCTAGAATCAGCTCTTCAGGAAAAATCTGAAAATGGAATAATATACAGGGTGTCCTATTTAAAAATTCAAAGTTGTTACTACTTTCCAATATAAGCGGCAACTTCGCAACGCTGAGAATATTTTAGGTCGAGAGAACACATTTAATTATTCAAGACACCAACTATCCAGAATAATCGTGAGTTGCGTTCTCCAGAAACGTCTGATGTGCTATCCACCGTTAATCAGTCTGTATATTTCAAGTTTACTTCGACCCAAAAAAATGCTCGAGTGTAATTCGTCAAGAAAATAATTTTTGAAATTGATCCCTTCATCCTTCGTTTGGACACTTCATAACAAAATATGTGAGTTACAGAAAAACACCATGTCACTCACACATTTGTCTGCAAACTTCTGTCAGTTTTGTGGTGTGTTTAGTTTTACCAGAATAAATGATTTTTGTTTTTTTAAACCTACCTAAAACTCTATTTGTAGAGTTTATTGCACTGGTTCGCTTCGACTTGCAAACTTGTGGTCATCTTCTTCATTTTTGGCGAGATCAGATATTCCAAAAGCTAACATACCCATTTACCATTTTTTAGGCTATGATGAACTTAGCTGCAGGTCGAAATTGGCTGAACTGTACAATCAAACTAATCTATTTCTGCCAGATGCTCATCCAAGGCTATATGGTGAACGTGTCTAACTTAATGATGCTGCCTTACATAAACACACAAAACCTTCAAAGTTTAATACGCGAGTTCAGGAAACTCTCGTCTTCAAATGTAGACATATCCATTCCGTATCTGAGATCAAAAATGTTGGACAAAAATGCGGCAAAAGGAATTGTTAAGGTCATGGATGAAGTACTGGGTTCCAGCTCATCCAAAGAGGTTTTAAGAAAAATGAAAGACTTCCCAATATTAACTGTTAGAACGACAGTTAGGAATATTGGCGATAACAGTATTATATCTTCTGTAAAGGAACACAATGGGTACAGTATGAAATCTTCACCAGATAAGCAATGCATTTTTGAACTCATTATATCAAGGGAAGGATCCAGTAAAATGAATGTTTACAGTAAAAAATTGAACAAACAGAAAGAGGAATTTTGGTTCCTTATATTTGTTGAAGGGGATAGTATGAGTTTTAGGAAATTTTCGTTCAACAGAAATACGAAGAAAATTGAAATACCTTTCCAGGTTCCGAGTGGAAGAGGTAATCAACCCCAAGGTCACCGGAAGTTTATTAAAACTAATAGTCACTTCTTTTTAGGTACTTTTTCCTACAAAATGTACATCATGAGTGACTGTTATATAGGTTTCGACCAGCTACTAACCTATAGGCTTGAAGTTGGATAATAAAAAATTGTGTGATATAGATAGCCAATTAATTATAAAATATCTGTTATGTTAACTATTTAATATTTATATACAATTTTTGATCCCTCAGCACTTTTATTTGAATGAAAAAAAACCCTTATTCGAATTTTTTATTCAAATGTTCCTTTTCATTATGGAGTTTTAGAAAAATAGAAAGAATAACTAACCACACATAACAAAAGGGAAGCTTTATCTACGAAAGCGTAGAAGGCTCACATTACATTTTTCTCAAAGGTAATGGCACCAGCTATTGACACCTTGAGACGGTAAAGGTCATGTGTCAAATTTCTATTGGACATTAAAAAATCAAAATATTCCAATTGAAACGACTTCAGAGCATATATTTTTTCTCGTTGGTTATTGCTTTCATCTGGGTTGATAAAACTATCAATTTAATGCAAAGGAACAAATGAATTAGTTATCAACATGACATGGTTCTGCACCTGATATTGACGCTGGTGTATTTTCCCAATTAACTCAATACAGTGTGTCCCAAATTCGATCCTCACCATTGGGATCTCAGTAACTATGAGAGAGAGAAACGGTTAAATTAGCAAAGTTGTAGTGAATCAGAATCTATCAAGAAATCCAGGCTAGCTTCAGTCATTCATGAGTTATTTGAGAAAAAATGAAATCTTGTATTTTTGTTTTTCTCGAATATCTCGGAAACTATTGATTCTATGATAAAATAACTTCAACATTCTCAAAGCACTTTTTGGTGTTCTTTTCAATGGTTTTGTCAGTTTTCCATCAAAATGTCAAATTTCTGAGATATCACCTACAACTTCGGTTTTTCTTATGGACGCCATATTGGATTTTCACAGATTTGAAATCAGCATAAAATTTCCTTTCTAGTGATGTATCACAGTCATAGTTTTATGATAAGGAGTACTGATTTTCAATTTTTGTTTATATGTCCAGTAGGCTATGCGCTAAACTCTCCATAAACAATAACGATTATGTGTTCTGGCACAACTTTCATAGAGTAGGCTTGGAGCCAAGTGACATTTCTGTAAACGTCAAGAGAAAATACAAGTAAATTATTTCGGGGCAAACAATGCCGTTCACAAAAACCAGTGACAGTACAAGGGTTAAGACCTGGTGATAATGTATGTCGTCTCGAGTTTTGCCACTGGATCGTTAACCAGTGTGAAAGAATCGATATCGATATCTCGAAAATCAATTTGGTGCTAAATTAATTATTACTCATGAACCTGTTAGATGGCCTCCAAGGTCGCCTGATTGTACCCCTCTCGATTTTTACCTGTGGGGCTACGCCAAAAATAAAATTTATGAAGAGCCAATTCAAGGTATTGATGATCTACGAGAGAGTGATAGACACATTCCAGCACATCAACAGGGTTCATCTAAGAAAAGCAGCGAATCATGTTCGCTCGCGAATATTAAAATGTATCGAGAACAATGGGGGCCATTTCGAGCAGTTCAATAATTTTTTTCAAGTACTCGTATTATTCACCTGTTAAGTTATGCAAGAACCAAGAACGTAGAACACAGATTCCATAATCTAAGGTAAAAGTCATGGTGGAGTGAAGATAGTAACTAATAACACAACATAATGAATTGTCGTGGAGATAACTTCGAGTATTATTTATTAGTTACAGAATTCATAGCCTATACTGGACATAAAAACAAAAATTGGAAATCAGTACTCCTTAAAATAAAATTATGACTGTGATACATCACTAGAAAGGAAATTTTATGCTGATTTCAAATCTGTTAAAATCCAATATGGCGTCCATAGGAAAAATTGAAGTTGTAGGTGATATCTAACAAATTTGACATTTTGATGGAAAACTGACAAAACCATTGAAAAGAACATCAAAAAGTGCTATGAGAATGTTGAAATCATTTTTTCAAAAAATCAAGTTTCCGAAATATTCAAACAAAACAAAAATACAGAATCAGAATATTCTTTATTGTCAGAAGAAAAAGCTCTTGTAGACAAAGAGAAGATAAAACATAAGTACGTAACATACAATAATACAAATTTAAAACAATGTGAAAGATAAAATATGGCATGAGAAGGATCATCATGTGGTATAACGATTCCCATTTCCAAGATGAATACTAAAACACATCACTATAATATTCCTTTAATTCATAGTAAGCCTTTTCAGCAAATAGCTGTTTGAGACTCTTCCTGAATATTTTATGATCTTTAATGTCCTTTACGTAGGTAGGTAGGTGGTTATACATCTTCAGTCCATTATATATAACCGAGTCTTTGATCAGGGTAGTCGATGGTAAAGGTAATTTCAGATGATTTTGTTGCCGAGTTATATGTTCTGTTGAATTATTTTTTAATTTTGTTTTATTTTTATGAATTAGGCTGACTGATTCTACAATGAAAAGTGAAGTGAGAGTAAGAATACCTTGACGTGCAAACAAAGGCCGACAAGATTCTCTAAATTTTGCTTTACACAGGTACCTAACGGCTCTTTTCTGTAGAGTGAAAATTACTTTAAAAAGTGTTTTTCTACAGACTCCCCAGAAGGCAATGCCATAGCTTAGATGAGATTCTATAAGGGCATAATAAGCTGACTTGGTAGCAGTATATCCCAAATTGTTGGAAATGATTCGCATGGCATAGCATCCCGAAGCCAACTTTTTACTGAGACTTGAGATGTGAGTATCGAATTTCAATGTGGCATCAATCTGTAGTCCAAGAAATTTTGTATTCTCTTTACTCTCTATGGTATCATTGCCTAGTAGCAGTGCAGGCAGATTGCAACGGAGGCATAGTATATTTGTTTTAGAGATATTTAATGACAGTAAATTTGAATCAAACCATTCTTTAATGCGGTCAATAACATCTCTAGAAATGGTTTGAAATAGTTTAGCCTCATTCTTGTCATGCCATTGAATGGTAGTATCGTCGGCAAATAAAGTGAAACTACCTGATATATTCAAATTGGCCATGTCATTGATGTATAATAAGAAAAGCACAGGTCCAAGTACCGAACCTTGAGGTACACCACAGCTAATGGAATGAAGTTGCGAGTAATGGTTTGTTTTGACAATCTGATAACGATTTGATAGGTATGACTCAAACCATTTCAAAGTAGTACCTCTGAAGCCATATGCTTTCAGCTTTTGCAAGAGTATTCTGTGATTGACGCAGTCGAATGCCTTCGACAAATCACAAAACACTGCTGCTACAAATTCTTTCTTATTAATTTCTGTATAAACTTCAGTAATGAAGTCAAATATGGCATCCGTTGTATTCTTTTTGCTCTGAAACCCGAACTGTTGGTCGCTCAGAATGTTGTGCCTGTCTAAAAACTGAATGATTCTATTCTTGACCAGCTTCTCGATTATCTTTGCCAGTGTTGGTATGAGCGAGATTGGTCGAAAATTAGATGGATTATCTTCTTCGCCGCCTTTATGAATCGGTGTAACTAATGATGTTTTGAGAAATTGGGGAAAACATCCAGTTCGAAAAGAATCATTTATGAGGCGGACCAGCAAACCAAGTACGGCATCAGGAAGGTTTTCGAAAATCCTCACAGATATACCGTCGAACCCAGCTGTGCATTTATTTTTAATACTCCAAGATTTCAGTTTTTCTCAAATAACTCAAGAATGACTAGAACTTGTCTCAATAGTTTCTGATTCAACATTAAATTTGCTACAACTTTTGCCAATTCAACTTATAGAAACGAGGAGAAAAATCCCAAAAAATCTGGAATAATGAATGTACCATACCAACTTGATTAACCTACAGACAGTATTTATCAAAGTAATGTTCTTCCAGTTACATTTGCCAGGCTGTTGGTTGAATTCTAAGACATCCTGAGCTTTATTTGTATGTCGCATCAGGAAGGCATTATTTATAGTATTTATATCATTGCTTTTCTGGACGATCATTTATGTGAATTGATTGTTCCATGTTTATTGCAACTTGCAACGTGTTCGATATTCGAGTTGACCTAGTTACCAACAGGCCAAGGACGCCTGATGAGAACTTGTGGACCGAAACAGTAATGCATCGCTCTTGTTGACAATTGGTACCACCTGTATTTATTATCGATTTCTCAGTTATGAAATCTAGTTCTATAAAGACAGAATTTTGGAACAAAAATGGACGACTTTTGAGTCGATTGCAAAAAAAAATACTTTTTAACCAAACTACCCATTTCTGAGGAATTTCCTGGTACAGGTCGATTTTTATTTAAAATTTGCCACATCTAAAGTATAAAATTAAATATACAGGGTGATCCACGTTTGTGTAGTGACGTCCATGACAGGTTTTTCAAATGGGACAACCTTTATGATATTAAATTTTTGGAATCTCCATGGAAAGCTGGTTTCAGAGATATACAGGGTGTTTCCTATAACTACGGTTCCTAACTACAGGGGGTGATTTGTTAGGTCATTTCAAGAAGAAAAGTTTCAATGAACATAATATGTCCGGAGTTGCTTCGTTTCTGAGATACAGGGCGTTGAAATTATGGAAAACAAACGATAATTATAAAATATCATGAATATTTTGGAACCGATTTGGTTGAAATTTGGTACTTTTATTTGTCAAATTTTCTAAAATTTCAGCATATCAAGTGTCAATTAAATTTTTGGCGGAAATAATAATGAAAAACTCATTTCTCCAATGCAGGTGTTCATGATATGCAATACAGTGGCTTTGATTTTTTTTCTCGAAAACGAACCTGGATATGAAGAGAATGCAAGAGACCAAAAAGTTGAATTTTGAGTTGCTCAATCTAAACAAAATGAAAATTCACCAAAAAAAGTCAGTGGCGTACTTTTTTTTCACAATATTAATGGCTGTGCATGGTGCCCACTGAGACGCCACTGGTCCCAATAATTTCAATCTAAATAGGGCTAAATAAGCGCCTTATTAGTTCAACTGAAAGTACCGAATTGGTTCGAGGATATTCATGATATTTTATAATTACCGTTTTTTTTTTCATTAATTTCAACGCCCTGTATCTCAGAAACGAAGCAACTCCGGACATATGTAAATAGGAACATTTCTTCCTAAAATGACCAAACGAATCACCACCTGCAGTTAGGAACCGTAGTTAGGAAACACCCTGTATATCACACATATGGTTCCAGTGGCGGATTTACCGGTACGCTTAGTATGCTCAAGCTTAGGGCCCCGACCCTTGCAGGGGCCCCCGAGGGGCCCTGGCATTGCATGACTATTTTCCCATATCATTCGTTTGTATAGATGAAATAATGATTGAAATGAATTTTTCTTTTGAGCAATAGGTATTTATTTTATATAGCAGCGGCAACATTCCAAAAATGTTGAAAACCATAAGCAGGGTCCTGCCGATCTCATAGCGACAGTGGGCCGGTTAAGGGAAAGAAAGTTGCTTAAATCCGACAAAAGTTCAATAACTTCCTCGATATGGCATTTTGCAAACTGAAAAAAAAAACATGTGCCGTTTCGATTCAGATAAAATATCAACAGTAAAAACAAAATGATTTTCTGTTTTTTCATTCCAATTTTTCAGGAACGGCAATTTTTTTTCATCTGCAAAACGTATACCGTTGAGGAAATAGTAATAATGTTCCTATGAAATCGGCGGGACCCTATTACTGAAGGAATCATGGACGTGTTTGTCAATGCAAAAATACTACATTGAACTTGTTTTCAACACTGCCATCAGTGACCAATTGCGGAGGAGAGCGTTTATTTTCAAAATTATCAATAATCAAATCAAATTGTGTACATTATTCCGAAGAGAACATAACAACCTTTGGGAATGCGCTTTCCATCGGAAGTGATTTGATGAGCAGTTCGATTTATGATGGTGCAATGAAAGTATTCGCAGATTCGTGAATCAGAAAATTGGAAGTGATATCGTAGTATGTTTCTCCTAGTAATTTCGTTACGGTTTAGTTCTTTTATTTTGAACGTATCTGATCCTAGTCAGTGTTATAGTTACGTTCATTTTATTTCATGTGGCTCTGATTTTTTTTATTTGTTATTATATCCTAAACCATATCAATGAATGCACTTTTTTTTGTTCCTTTTATATCCTATATATTTTCATCATGCAATTTTCGCTTCTATTTGGTCAGAAAATGTTAGATGGGAAAATTGGTGAGAAGAAATAACAGGAGGAGAAAAAATGATGGGTAGGGGCCACAAGGGCCACAAGAATTATCAAGCTTAGGGCCCCAGAAATCGTAGATTCGCCACTGTATGGTTTGTATACAGTGTGTCGTCAGATTGAGTGATCTCGTAAAGTTCTGGGTTTTTAGCCAAAAACTATCCGTTTCTGAGGAATTTTCTGGAACAGGTCGCTTTTTTTTTCAATTTGACAGTTATAAGGCGAAATTAAATATACATATATGGCGATCCACGTTTGGGATGGGACGTTCGCCGCAACTTTCTCAAATGGAACACTATATATGTATACAGGGTCCGGCATCTCACGTTCCGTCTTCTATAGCTCAGTTATCAGTTGAGTCAGGATTTTGATATTTTATAGACTTCAATTGTCATAGGGCGCATACCGGGAAAATAATTCCTCCCTTGGCAGTCCCCGCGAGATTAACCCGTCAAGTTGATGAGGCTTCACACCCCTTCGTGGTCACTTTGGAGACCTGCAGAACATCTCTTTCCAAAGACTCGTTTCATTTCATTTATTTATACTGCTGCAACAACAGGCTTCAGCCCAATTACAGAATAACAGTTTTATCACATACATTACACATAGAGTACACACTTGAAATTACTTCCGAAATTACCTAAAAAAACAAAGAAAGATTCACAACACAGTCCACTAACATGGTCACGTTAATTATTTTAAAAAGTGGAAAATATACAATTAAGTAGATAATAATCAATAATTAGCAACAGTGCCTTTTATTCTGCTACTACTAGAAATGAAAATGTCAGTATCTCAGCATGCAGTTAATATGCTCATTTACAGATTTCTGGCATCTTACAAAAGGTGAGCAGGATGACACATCTATATAAAAAATATGATTTCGCTTACGTAATCTTACTTCAGGTACATGTAGTTTTATTGCAAAGAGTAAATCAGGTACATTTAGCTTATCATTAACTACTATGTCTGATACAAACAGCACATCCGCGATATTTCTCCGGAGCTGTAGTGTGTTTTGATTCAATTCTGATAGTTGAGTTTTGTATGAAATCATTAAAGTGGATAGGTACTCGATATTTCCTGTAATAAAGACTCCTCGCATGAACTTTTTTTGTACCTTCTCAATCATTTCTGAATGAACAACGGTATGTGGATTCCAGATGACTGAAGCATATTCTAATTTTGGTCTTACGAAGGCATTGTATAAAAGTATTGCGTTATTAGAGTTAAACTGGTACGAATTCCTTAGAACAAAACTTAAATTTCTCAGGCTATCTTTTACAATTTTTGCAATATGTGTATTAAAGCTAAATTTTCTATCAAAAACTACTCCTAGATCCTTGAATTTTTCTACTTTTTCCAATTTAGTTTCATTCACCCAGTATTCTGTTTCAATGGGATTTTTCTTACGGCTGAATAATATATATTTACATTTGTTCTCATTTAATGACAGGTCGTTCAGCTCACAGAAAGTGGCAATCCTATATTGAGATCTTGTTGAAGTAAAAGTCTGTCACTGTCATCCCTGATTACTCTGTATAGCTTCAGGTCATCAGCATAAAGTAAGTATTTTGATGTTATATATTCACCGATATCGTTCACAAACAAAATAAAGAGTAATGGACCTAGTATGGACCCTTGGGGTACACCTGATGATGCAGTGAATACTTCTGATTTTTCTTTATTGAATTGAACAAATTGGGATCTATCAGACAGGTATGACCAGACTAATGATATGAGATTCTCATGTATAGAGAGTTTTCTAAGTTTATTTACTAATGTTTTATGATTCACTTTATCAAAAGCCTTTGTCAAATCATAGTGTAAATGGTATCCACTTGCATGCCATGGTCAATAGCAAGTGCTAAGTCATGACTATAAATCATCATTATCCAACGAACAGAGAGGCTCTGGAACACATTGCCAAGGAAGGTGTTCCCCGAGGTATTTAACCTCCAGAAATTTATGAAGAACACCAATTCTTACCTTATTTCCCTTGGTTCTCACGATGTTCTCTAAACATTACAGGATATCGCTTCTTGTGGGAACCAGAACATGAAAAAATTTCACATTTTGTAGCCTATTTCAGTGCTTCTAGTGGTTACCTTCATACTCCTGGAATTTATTTGAACTCGGTTCAGTGATATTCACATAAGAAAATATGTCAAATAAATTCAATTTTGCACCACTGGTCAAAAACATTGATAACAAAAAAGATAGTGCCTGCTCAATCAAATCATAAGAGATACATATCAGATAAGGCCTCAGAGGAACGCTAACCGAGTTTGATTGACCTAATCATCACAGGGTGTGCAAAATTTCAAACTTAAAATTTCAAAATACCTATATATTTTTTTATTTCAAATTGGAGCCCCTGTATATTTTCATGTCATTCGAAACGTGAATAAAAAAATAAACTCTTCTACTTATTACAACCCCATCGAAATTTTCATCATATCAAAAGTAATTTGCCGAAAACTCATTTCATCAACTACTATTCTGATAGTCATTTGAATGAATAAAAAACAATGGTGCATGGCTTTGAGAAATAAATTATTGACATTTAACTCCTAGTTCAAATTCAATACATTGTTAGCTCATTATTATAAATATTTTGAGCTGTTTATAAGGGCATATTGTGAAATATTGTTTTTTGTCATCCAGTACAACCAATAAAACACATTCAACCCATTGTTGGTTAATTTGTGAATCATTATTAAAATTTCAATATTTTTTTATATCTCAACTGTTGGGGAGTTTATAGGTAGACATGAAAAACCTCTATAAAATCAATGAAATTGAGAAAATATAATAGAGAATTATAATAATATGATGAATTATATATAATGTTAAAATAGGTAGGGTAATAGGAAGATCTGTTCAACTGGAATGCTGACTGGGTGTTAAACCAGTACTGTGTTCAGGACTGTGCTTCTGCTTTTTCCTCTTCTTTTCTTTCTTTCTTTTCCGCTTTTCCTCATCATGTCTTTTCTGCTTCTTGTGTTTCTTTTCATGAGTTTCACTATTTGTGTCAGATACAGTGGTTTCTTGACTAGGTAATCCACCTTCCTTGTGCTTATGTTTTTTATGTTTGTTTTTATGTTTCTTTATTGGTGCTGCATTAGCATAGCGATATTGTTCAGGAAGCTGAAATAAAAACAAATAATTAATTTTTTATGGATTAGCTGCATTATTACTTCAGCCAGAGGTGTTCACTGATTTTACAATAAACATCAGAGCTGATATTCAAGTTTATATTGTCCAAGATGATTTTTGATGATTCAGAACCAAAAGAACTTCTACTCACAGGTCCTGGATGTAATCTAAAGCCATCCAATTGTATATTTGTGAGTGGTAACAGCTCTTTCCCACCAATGGGAGGTTTTTCAATAACAGATCTAAGAGAACTGTTGTCTTGTTGACTAGGAGAATCAATAACTCCTGGTAATGTAGGAAGAAATGATGACAACTGTTCCTTCAATTTTTTGCCACTAAACTTGCTATAAGAATGCTCCAGACCATAGTAGGTCATCAAATTTGTGGCTCCTGTTAGCTCAGACTCCACTAGAATGATGTATTTAGGACATTTTCATAAGGTGGAATTAGGTCACTTACCAGGTGGTTCTTTCAACAAGTAGAAAGGTCCACTGGGGACGATCGAAGGATTCTTTCCCAGCAAAATTGTCGTTTTTAATGTTCCCGAAGAATCTTGACGTGATACAACAGGGGACCTGGCCCCTCTTGGAGATGATTTTGGAGAATATTGTTCGACTTTACGAAACTGATCTCCCATCATCTTTCATTTCATTGTTTCAACGAATATCTGCAGAAATCCTACTCACATTAATTATTCTACTATATTTGCTTTTGTCTAGAAAAACAGCTAGAAATAAAATTTACAATCACAATCACATAAACGTCATTATTCTGTCATTATTCTATTTTCTTCACTTCACACTGAAATTGACAGCTGTGTGAAAATGGCAGCCAAAGATAGCAGCCAAAATCTCCGAACATTGCCGAAGACCCAGTGGCGGACAACATGTTATTTTTTTTCCATGCCTTCGAATACGAAAAACAATATTTTGAGTGAATTTTGAATGTTTTATATAGTTATAAAAAACTGCTGGACAAAATTAACATACCCAATAAAGTAATTGACGATTTGACCATAGAAGCAATCCCTGCAACACCTATCCAGAATAATATACCTATATGAAAAAATCCAACCAAACACACAAAAAAATTATTTTGAGGGTGTAAATAAAAAACTGCTGCGATGACATAGGGTAGGAATCATTCAAACATACCCAAGGAACGATTTGCCTATCGAAAAACTCCCCGCAACCCCTATCAAAAAAAAATATATCATATTCCACCCTACAGATAAAGAATTTTTTTCACTGTGTAAATGAAAAACTGCTGCGATGCCATATGGTAGGAATCATTCAAACAGACCCAAGAAACGATTTGCTTATCGAAAAACTCCCCGCAACCCCTATCGAAAAAAAATATATCATATTCCACCCTACAGATGAAGAATTTTTTTCAGTGTGTAAATGAAAAACTGCTGCGATGACATATGGTAGGAATCATTCAAACATACTCAAGGAACGATTTGCCTATCGAAAATCTCCCCGCAACCCCTATCGAAAAAAAATATATCATATTCCACCCTATACAGATAAAGAATTTTTTTCAGTGTGTAAATGAAAAACTGCTGCGATGACATATGGTAGGAATCATTCAAACATACTCAAGGAACGATTTTCCTATCGAAAATCTCCCCGCAACCCCTATCGAAAAAAAATATATTATATTCAACCCCCTGCATGAAAAATTTTTTTTAGTGTGTAAATGAAAAACTGCTGCGATGCCATATGGTAGGAATCATTCAAACACACCCAAGGAACGATTTGCCTATCGAAAATCTCCCCGCAACCCCTATCGAAAAAAAATATATTATATTCAACCCCCTGCATGAAAAATTTTTTTTAGTGTGTAAATGAAAAACTGCTGCGATGCCATATGGAAGGAATCATTCAAACACACCCAAGGAACGATTTGCCTATCGAAAAACTCCCCGCAACCCCTATGGAAAAAAAATATATCATATTCCACCCTACAGATAAAAATTTTTTCTCAGTGTGTAAATGAAAAACTGCTGCGATGACATATGGTAGGAATCATTCAAACACACCCAAGGAACGATTTGCCTATCGAAAAACTCCCCGCAACCCCTATCGAAAAAAAATATATCATATTCCACCCTACAGATGAAGAATTTTTTTCAGTGTGTAAATGAAAAACTGCTGCGATGACATATGGTAGGAATCATTCAAACATACTCAAGGAACGATTTTCCTATCGAAAATCTCCCCGCAACCCCTATCGAAAAAAAATATATTATATTCAACCCCCTGCATGAAAAATTTTTTTTAGTGTGTAAATGAAAAACTGCTGCGATGCCATATGGTAGGAATCATTCAAACACACCCAAGGAACAATTTGCCTATCGAAAATCTCCCCGCAACCCCTATCGAAAAAAAATATATTATATTCAACCCCCTGCATGAAAAATTTTTTTTAGTGTGTAAATGAAAAACTGCTGCGATGCCATATGGTAGGAATCATTCAAACACACCCAAGGAACGATTTGCCTATCGAAAAACTCCCCGCAACCCCTATGGAAAAAAAATATATCATATTCCACCCTACAGATAAAAATTTTTTCTCAGTGTGTAAATGAAAAACTGCTGCGATGATATATGGTAGGAATCATTCAAATATATCCAGGGAACGATTTGCCTATCGGAAATCTCCCCGCAACCCCTATCGAAAAAAAAAATATTATATTCAACCCTACAGATAAAAAATTTTTTTTAGTGTGTAAATGAGAAACTGCTGCGATGACATATGGTTGGAATCATTCAAACAGACCTAAGAAACGATTTGCCTATCGAAAAACTCCCCGCAACCCCTATCGAAAAAAAATATATCATATTCCACCCTACAGATAAAAAATTTTTTTTAGTGTGTAAATGAGAAACTGCTGCGATAACATATGGTTGGAATCATTCAAACAGACCTAAGAAACGATTTGCCTATCGAAAAACTCCCCGCAACCCCTATCGAAAAAAAATATATCATATTCCACCCTACAGATAAAGAATTTTTTTCAGTGTGTAAATGAAAAACTGCTGCGATGACATATGGTTGGAATCATTCAAATATATCCAAGGAACGATTTGCCTATCGGAAATCTCCCCGCAACCCCTATCGAAAAAAAATATATCATATTCCACCCTACAGATAAAAATTTTTTTTCAGTGTGTAAATGAAAAACTGCTGCGATGACATATGGTAGGAATCATTCAAACAGACCTAAGAAACGATTTGCCAATCGAAAAACTCCCCGCAACCCCTATCGAAAAAAAATATATCATATTCAACCCTACAGATAAAAAATTTTTTTTAGTGTGTAAATGAAAAACTGCTGCGGTGACATATGGTAGGAATCATTCAAACATACTCAAGGAACGATTTTCCTATCGAAAATCTCCCCGCAACCCCTATGGAAAAAAAATATATCATATTCCACCCTACAGATAAAAAAATTTTTTCAGTGTGTAAATGAAAAACTGCTGCGATGACATATGGTAGGAATCATTCAAACAGACCTAAGAAACGATTTGCCAATCGCAAATCTTCCCGCAACCCCTATCGAAAAAAAATATATCATATTCAACCCCCTGCATGAAAAATTTTTTTTAGTGTGTAAATGAGAAACTGCTGCGGTGACATATGGTGGGAATCATTCGAACATACCCAAGGAACGATTTGCCTATCGAAAATCTCCCCGCAACCCCTATCGAAAAAAAATATATCATATTCCACCCTACAGATAAAAAATTTTTTTCAGTGTGTAAATGAAAAACTGCTGCGATGACATATGGTAGGAATCATTCAAACATACTCAAGGAACGATTTTCCTATCGAAAATCTCCCCGCAACCCCTATGGAAAAAAAATATATCATATTCCACCCTACAGATAAAAAAAATTTTTTAGTGTGTAAATGAAAAACTGCTGCGATGACATATGGTAGGAATCATTCAAACAGACCTAAGAAACGATTTGCCAATCGCAAATCTTCCCGCAACCCCTATCGAAAAAAAATATATCATATTCAACCCCCTGCATGAAAAATTTTTTTTAGTGTGTAAATGAAAAACTGCTGCGGTGACATATGGTGGGAATCATTCGAACATACCCAAGGAACGATTTGCCTATCGAAAATCTCCCCGCAACCCCTATCGAAAAAAAATATATCATATTCCACCCTACAGATAAAAAAATTTTTTCAGTGTGTAAATGAAAAACTGCTGCGATGACATATGGTGGGAATCATTCGAACATACCCAAGGAACGATTTGCCTATCGAAAATCTCCCCGCAACCCCTATCGAAAAAAAATATATCATATTCCACCCTACAGATAAAAAAATTTTTTCAGTGTGTAAATGAAAAACTGCTGCGGTGACATATGGTGGGAATCATTCGAACATACCCAAGGAACGATTTGCCTATCGAAAATCTCCCCGCAACCCCTATCGAAAAAAAATATATCATATTCCACCCTACAGATAAAAAAATTTTTTCAGTGTGTAAATGAAAAACTGCTGCGATGACATATGGTAGGAATCATTCAAACATACTCAAGGAACGATTTTCCTATCGAAAATCTCCCCGCAACCCCTATCGAAAAAAAATATATTATATTCAACCCCCTGCATGAAAAATTTTTTTTAGTGTGTAAATGAAAAACTGCTGCGATGCCATATGGTAGGAATCATTCAAAGACACCCAAGGAACGATTTGCCTATCGAAAATCTCCCCGCAACCCCTATCGAAAAAAAATATATATATATAATTTTCCACGTAAGTGTTACTCACTCTTCCTTGAGTATGTTTGAATGATTCCTACCATATGTCATCGCAGCAGTTTTTCATTTACACACTGAAAAAAATTCTTCATCTGTAGGGTGGAATATGATATATTTTTTTCCGATAGGGGTTGCGGGGAGTTTTTCGATAAGCAAATCGTTTCTTGGGTCTGTTTGAATGATTCCAACCATATGTCATCGCAGCAGTTTCTCATTTACACACTAAAAAAAATTTTTTATCTGTAGGGTGGAATATGATATATTTTTTTCCATAGGGGTTGCGGGGAGATTTCCGATAGGCAAATCGTTCCTTGAGTATGTTTGAATGATTCCTACCATATGTCATCGCAGCAGTTTTTCATTTACACACTAAAAAAAATTTTTTATCTGTAGGGTGGAATATGATATATTTTTTTTCCATAGGGGTTGCGGGGAGTTTTTCGATAGGCAAATCGTTCCTTGGGTGTGTTTGAATGATTTCTACCATATGTCATCGCAGCAGTTTTTCATTTACACACTGAAAAAAATTCTTTATCTGTAGGGTGGAATATGATATATTTTTTTTCGATAGGGGTTGCGGGGAGTTTTTCGATAGGCAAATCGTTCCTTGGGTATGTTCGAATGATTCCTACCATATGTCATCGCAGCAGTTTTTCATTTACACACTGAAAAAAATTTTTTATCTGTAGGGTGGAATATGATATATTTTTTTTCGATAGGGGTTGCGGGGAGTTTTTCGATAGGCAAATCGTTTCTTAGGTCTGTTTGAATGATTCCAACCATATGTCATCGCAGCAGTTTCTCATTTACACACTAAAAAAAATTTTTTATCTGTAGGGTGGAATATGATATATTTTTTTTCGATAGGGGTTGCGGGGAGATTTTCGATAGGCAAATCGTTCCTTGAGTATGTTTGAATGATTCCTACCATATGTCATCGCAGCAGTTTTTCATTTACACACTGAAAAAAATTCTTCATCTGTAGGG